GTTATTACATTCAAGACGAAATAATCGTCCATATGCCTGTCTTATTGAAAATATGATTACTTTCAAGATTATCGAACCTATCATGCATATATAAACATGAAATGTAGGTTACAAGTCGCATATTTTAATCATACGTATTTCCTCGTATGACTAGTGAAGTTACAGCATAATGAAGTACAAACTAATTCAATATTTAGATGACATGAGTGCAACGAGTAATTCCCATTCATTTAGAGAAGCCTGGCTTATAGGATGATAGTATAATTCGACGTAATAACATACATCATCGAAGGATTACCGTATGCGAGGCTGTACTGAGGGGAGGGAAACCTTCAATTATCCTTCCAAGATTATTAATGAGGTTTGTGTACATCGATCCAATTAACAATCTAAACAACCCTGCTCCAGGGAGTAGCCATTGTGACGTCACAAATGAATGAGAGAAACGTGCCATTCATTGTGAGCTTATTGCGCTTCTTTAACATCTAAGGTAGATAGCAGTTGGCATGATATGTTTCTGTGTTACCTGGTATATAGTTATGATAGTTTTCATTTTTGTAGTGTCAGAAAAATGACCTTCGACTTTTTATATTAATAAGGAAGACATTGCCTATAAAATTCTGTCAAGAAAATATTGTAGGCGATATTTCGTCATCCTTCGAGGAAGAATATTTTTTAAAGGAAACAGACGATATTTTATTTTGCTATTTTGTAAACATCTTAAGGGTTGAGGACACAGTATTCAACACGTTACAATAGGAGACGTATCAGTCATCATCCTATATAGATGAATATTTGAATATCACCATGTGAAAGATAGCGTGGTCAAGCGTGGGTCAAGCCGAGGAGGGGGATTAGTGCATTGGATTGTTTTAAAGAGGTTGTGTCACGCTCTCTCTCTCTCTCTCTCTCTCTCTCTCCCTCCCCCTCCCACTCTCTCTTTCTTTCTCTCCCCATCCATCCCCCCTCTTCCTCTCTGTCCATTTCTATTCTCAGCTTATTGTCCTCTTACTTTTTTGCCATCCGATTTTGGTCAAAGCTACATCACTAATACTATACAATACGTCCGCTGGATGATATACGTAACATCTTGTTTTTAAACAATTTACATTTTAATGAAGATCTGTGTGCTTTTTAACTGTCAAAACAAACACCCCCGGATTTCTGAGTAACCAGTTCGTACATTCATCACTCAGTTATGCTGGTTGGAATACCAGTACGGTTGGGTCACCTCGTCTATTGTATCTGGGGTAACATATTCAGTTGGATTCTATCGGCGGATCCAGGGGAGGAGTATATCAAAGAATTAATGTTATTAGATTGGTTGTGTTGCGTTCTTTTTTTTTTCTCCACGACCATGTGGTCTGGATTCACGGAAGGCCTTGGAGTAAAATGCGATTCTTTGGCGGCGAGCGAATCGTATTACATGCGTGATGGCTTGCCACGAGTAAGCAAATGCTTTGGGGGTATCAGGGTCAGAATGGTTCTGTCATGAGAATGTAGGGAAATATTAAAAACGCGAAAAGACAAAGGGAGATAGAGGAGAGAAGAAAAAAGAATGTTAATAATCATTGATATATTTTTAAAAGCGAGAGAGGGAGAGGAAGAGAGATGGGAGAATAATGGTTATTGAAGACAAATTGATCGTGAGGAAGGGAAATAGAACTATGATCAAATAAAAACAAATTAATCGCAAATTTAGCAAAAAAGGAAATAAGATGGGAAGAGTATAATGGAGAGAGAGAGGGGGAGAGAGTGAAAGAGAGAGAGAGAGAGAGAGAGAGAGAGAGAGAAAGGAAAGGAGAGAGGTAGAGAGACAGAGAGACATACAGAGGCAGTTAGAGTCAAACAGAGATACACACGGTAATCCAAACAGAAGAAATCTCTAATAATTGGATAGTACAGAAAGAGGGAGTAAAAGATGAGTAGACTAAAAAAACAAAATGCAAATTGAGCAAATTTTCATCGTAACGACCTCGACAGTCACGGTGAAATTTAGGTCTAACTAAATTCTAAAATCCCTCTTGAGATGTACAGCGTGTTGATTTGATCATTACAATAACACAGTCAATAAACCTATTATTTCATCCATCGATATTGCAATTCTCTCTCTTCCTTTCCTCGTCTCCTTTTCGATTTCAACTAGGGGCAAGTTTCATCACTGATGGTAGACGTTGATAACTGATTAGTGATCTATTGATTTCTATATCATCTTTATAAAAAAAAAACATATTCATGTGCATCAATGAGGTATTTTACGTTTGATTCATTTACATTTGATACATTCTCCAATATAGTACATTACATTATATTGAAATTAGAGAAGGTATACGAAAATAAGTTACATGACTGTTTAAAACATAATATATGCATAGGATGTGGGCTACAGCGTAAGCGTTAAGCTTGATGTGCTTGCAGCCCTAAGTTAAACTAAAAACATAATATCAAAGAGAGAGAGAGAGAGAGAGAGAGAGAGAGACTTGCTATTAAGAAAGATAGAACCAAAGTGGGAAGACACAAGTATGATCAGGGGCATTAATTGAGGAGACGGATTCTACCCATGTTCCTACCCTACCATCTTCTCCCCCGGCCATTAACAAAAACATTTTTGTTGGGAATAATAATTTATACGGATTTCGGCAAATCGAATATACAAGTAAAGGTGGTCATATTTGTGGATGCAGTGCGTATGGTGGTTGTACTAGTGTAGTGGTCATGGATATAGTCCTTGGTATGGCTGTATTTAATAATGGGTATCATGGCGGTCGTGATAGTAGTGATGGTTGTGATGGTAGGAGTATTAGTTTTTGTAAATGTTTTTATTTTTGCAGTCGTTGTAGTGGGATTGTAAGTAGTTTTTGGTAGTAATGCCGATGACACCTTGTACAGTAGATATCTTACAACGTATTAACGATAACCTTCTCAATGACGGGGCTCCTTTGCTCACCATATTTTCATCATTTAGAATCATGATAATACGACGCCATTTTCTCATATAGTCTGGCAGAGGCCGTGCTAGATAGGAAGGAAAAACACAATATCTTTGCAACTTGTTGTCACAAAATATTAAATATTAACTCGAACGCGTCAATAGGTATGATGCAGTCACGATTGAATTTTGTTGTAACAAAGTTATCAAAAATTTACCAGAACGTGACGTAAGAGATGGTTTATCTTAAAAATAGAGTTGTAGTTTATCATGTATAAAGAATACTTGAATATTTACGAGAGTGCGTTGAAAGCGTAATATAATAATTTACGAGAAAACGTTAAAAACTGTATTGTGTTGGAAATTTTCTTTTATAGAGAGAATGTCGTTTACTTTTGATCTTCCATCATTGAAATAATACATTGCTTTTATCGATTACTAATTTTATAGAATTATACTAATTTTCGTATATACCTGACTACATAGAATCAGAGATTAAAAAAAGTTTTCTTTTGACGAAACACACCAACAAAAAATCAAGAAATGTTAAGGTTGTAATCATTTATTTAATTACTTTTGTCCTTTTTATTATGATAACATGTAAATTGATGTAAATATATGTGAAATATGTGAAATGAAATACCTCGGTAAGAGGACAAGAACAAAAATATAGAAACAGAGATAAGCACATTTAAACGCAAACATTTTGTGATAAGCCAAATATTATCAAAACGAATTTTATTTGAATTTCGAAAATTAAAATGATAGCAGTAAAATATATGAATTTTGCTTGAGATATAAATTGGTAGCATGTTGGGGAAGTACATGTAAAGGTAACCCTGAATCTAGGTCGGCCATTCCTCGATTCGGCCGGTTAGTCAGAGAAGGACGATAATGTATGTGTATTGACACAGCGCAGGCAAGGAAAAGCGCACTAACGAATTTCAGCCTGCATCTGTGTAAATAGTATTGGCAACCACCACAAACTTCCTAGATGGCAACCCGGTGACCTTTAAAGGAAAGATCTCCTCTATAGTGACTATGTAATTTTAACATCAAAATATGCAACATCATGCAAAAGAATGTACCAAAATATGCAAATATAGACCACCTTGGTGTCAAAAAATGAGAATGTGGTTGCCTGAATGTATGTAATTTTATTTCAAATTTTTGCATGGGATGGGAGAGGGGGGCTGCACCCCTTAAGCCCCCCATTTCAATCCCGCCTCGTTTGCCTGTGCAGCTATCCCTTTTACTTATTCAAGAAAACTATATTTTCGAAAATGCCAGCCAGGTAACTCTAGGTTTATATAGTACACCATAATCTCTAGGAATCTCTACTCGGAAGAAGTGAAGAAAAAAAAATTCTACAAAATGAGCAGCTAGATGATTTCAAGAATAAATAATTTGAAATAGGATATAAAGTTAGATGCAAATGTTGTAAATTTTAATCCACTGAATCTGCCAACGAGGTACTGATGTATTATGCAATAAAATTGATATTTGCAAGTTTCACTTTCTGTTAACACCTTATGTCATGTTCTTTTCTTTTTTTGGATCACGCACATTAACTCTCACATCAACACGTACTTTCCTTCTAGGCAATGCTTTTGTCACATAGAACTTTATATGTTAATTGTTAGCGTTACGTAAAAAAAAATATCCACGTGAGATAGGGATGATCTTCCTGTAAGCTCTTCTCGTTGTTTAACTTATTTAAGATGGAGTTCTTTCATCCGGTGTGGTTTGAGATCAATATAAGAGCGGTTTGACAGATTGGATGTATAACGTTTCCCAACGCACTTTACACGATCTATACGCTCGTCATCTGGTTGGCTAAATTCTGTTTAAATTGTATTAAGATTTCCCCCGGGTTGCGGCTGTGTTTATCTGAGTGAGAAAGCTGATGCATGCAGCCACTTCACAACGTGCCCCCTGCATCGCCAGCAGCACGCAGCCAGGGAGAAAATGGGTGGGCACTTTGCATATACGACAGCGAGCTCCGTCAGGTCTAGCAAATGGCGGAATAGTTTTTATCTTATGAGGGTCTTATGAGCGTGGAGCTATTAGAATGCCTGGTAATGTGTTCTAGGGCTTAAGGGAATGGGTGATTTGCTTTTACAGTGTTTTTATTTTCGAGACGGGATAGTCTTCCAGTGGACGAAAGTGATTCGGTTTAAAACCGTTTTGTCTTGGAAAGATCGTTTCAATGAACAACGCTAATAATGAAAGCGACCGCCTGCATATCAATTTCTCTAATTTATAGGCAGTTACTGTTACGCGTGTAGCATAGATTCCTCAATGAAGAAGGCTCCTTCATTGACGATAATGTTGTCTGCTTGAGTTCACATAGCACCAATGTGAAAAAAATCATACACATTATAAGAGGAAATATCAACACCCCATCCCCCACCACCACCACCACCATCACCACCACCACCGTGCATTTGTTTCACAAAAACTTATGACGACACGAAGTGGGAAATTTCAAATTCACCGGAAGGTCAAGTCATGATGACCTCCTGATTCTTAGATTTTGATCTTCTTATTCATGGTTTTCTAATGAATGTTTTTTTTTTTTGTCTTCTATTTCTTCTTTTTTTCTTCTTCTATAGTTCTTCTGGTCTTTGTGACAGTCACAACCTACGGACAGGAAGGAGCAGGTAAGGCTTAATTTATTGAAGAAGAAGTTAGAAAATTGGATTATCAATGAATCTAAAGGCTTTTTCATTTCATCGTTTCGTTTCATTTATCGTTATTACCAAACATAAAATAAAACGATATAACACGATGACGTGTGCAGTACATGGTTGATAATAATTCTCTCTCTCTCTCTCTCTCTCTACCTCTCTCTCTCTCTCTCTCTCCCCTCATCTCTCTCTCTCTCTCTATCCCTCCCCCACACATACACATACATCTCACCTCATAAGTCGAAGCTCATTTGTATTTATATTTAACCTTCTTACATGCTGATATTTTCAGTCGCACATCTGATGACTATGGTCGTACTGACCTCGTCCGACATAGTATCCCGACGGGTGACGCTTAAAAGCGATTGTATATTACGAAGACATCCCATTCAGAATATGTAACATTTATAATTATAGTGAAAAACATCGATCATAAATGTTATTGTGATAATGAGAATAAGGTCACTGGAAGATTTTGTGGGTATCGCATTCAATACATAACTCATCGAAACATAGTGCCTGTACCCTTTCGGAATCTATACTTTCGCGGCGCACGATCGTCCATCACAAGGAATGAAACGCATTTCCTATACACCTGGGTATAAAGTGACAGTTGTAGATGAATGTCCTGTCTAAACAATACTTACCTTTCAAAATGTCCATTGACAGTCCAGTAAATGCACAGCTTGAGCACGTGATAACATACATCCTGTCCAAAGAGAAATGATTTTGTTTCAGTCTACGGTGCTCTAGAATTTGTGACACTCAAGTCTGAAAAAAGGAGACATATGAAAAAGAAATTGTTTCTAATTACTACCCTACGTGAAATATGATACCAGACAAATCCAATGCAAATATATCATTTTAGGCCAATTAATATTGTTGGACTTGCTGCACTATAAGTAGTTTGATCAAGCCGGATAGGGGGCAATATTGAAAATGTACTGCAGTTGGATAATATAAGTCGTTTTGCAAAAAGTATGCATATATATTATGTCGCAAAGATTAAGTTAAATTTCCTAATAGTCCACCAAAAATCGTTTCGTAAGAACACGAAATCTAATAGTTTTCTATATATATATATATATGTCTTATGTATAATTTCTATCTTGATATTTAGCCGACGATGGACCTAGATTTCGATTCCCGGCGCCACATCGCTACGACCTGGCTACATGGTGTGAAGAGAAGTACTACCCAGACGATAAAGACGGAATGTTTAAAAGCCCCAACTATCCACTCGAGTACAACAGCGATGAAGAGTGTGTCTATAGCTTTGAAGGTACATTTAGTATTTTGTTTACTCAACATCATTACGTCACAATACGATATTGCCGCAACTCTAGCCTGCGTCTCTAGAGTAATTTTTTCTAGCTCTCAGTAGAAGTTTTGACGTACCGATTGTAGTGAATATTTAGGGTTAGGGTTACGTAACCCCATTATTCCTGTCTTTCGAAGGATTCTTATCCTATTCTACATTCAGAACAACTCATTCTTACGGAGCTCTTGATAAATCGTGCTGCAACATGGCAGGCTTGTGATTTATCATGTATCAATGCATTCATCATGTAACTAAAAATAATTTTCTGGGAACCGGAATGGTGTCTACTCGTATTCTGACACAATGTCAACATCTTTCTGCATGGCCCTCATCACACGATACCATGTTGTGTCTCTCTAATAGTGCATGTAACACCAATGGAAAACACATGTCTGTATTATTATGTAGACCAAGAAACATGAATCTTGATTCTTGAATTTTTATCAAATATCGGGCTGCGTGGTCTAAAATGTGTATGTATTTGCCCAGTGATATTCATAATGGTCCACAGGACTTTAATCAAATAGCTCCCCAAATTCATTCAAAAGATGAAGTTTTCCAGATGCTTAACAGATCAACAAAATTGTATGTAATGGCAGCTGTTTTCTTGGAGTAATATCAAGAATGGAATTGAAAAAATGTAGCATATTATATTACATCTGTTAATACAATAATGGGGACTTGTTGAAAACTCCGATATGTCGGTTCGCCCACTAAGTTGGCAAATATTCATCTAAACTTCATTTCTAAGCCTCAAAAGGACTTAAAACCTGGAAAATATTTAACTTGTATTTTGATCTAATATCTGATTTTAACCATGTTGATTACTTTGATTTATCTTCAACTAGCTGCTGAGAACGAGGTGATCGAGCTGGTCTTCCATTCAACCTTCAACGTAGAGGGCTCAGCAGGATGCGAGTATGACTACATCGAGATCCATGACGGTCGCTATGGTTACTCACCTCTCGTCACCCGTGACTGTGGTCACATCGCTCCTCCTAGGATAGTGTCCTCCGGAAATCATCTTCTCATGTTCTTCATCACCGATAGTTTGCTGGTGGAACAAGGCTTCGCCGGGATGTTCAGGTATCTGCCAGGTAAGATCGTGTTGACGCCCTCTGGAGTTGCCACTGGAATCATCGAGATCGAATCAAAACGGTAGAAAGAAGAAAAAGAAAGAAAGAAAACAAAAAGAAATAGGGAAAGGTATGTGACCATAAGGAACATGAGAAGAACAAAAGATATTCTTCTTCGCTCAATGGCTCTGCTCCATCGAAAATCAAGATTACGATCACTGAAAAATGGAGCTAAACAGATTAATTAGGTCCTTAAGTACATGCGAAAACTCATTTTACATGGTTCACGTTCTTTTATATAATATACCACGTGGATAACAGTCTGCAATTTGTAAAATAAGATAAGAACTAGAAGAAATTACAACAATAACAATTCCTTGAGAAATGTTTGGCTTGTCCAAAACAAACAACAAGTGAAATATATTTCACAAAATGAACTCCTACCCCTAATTTTCCTATCGTTGTCGACACTGAGCTTTTGACGGCTTGAAATCGAAAAAAAATAATCCTTTAGGCAATGATGGTGGGGTTAATTCTTATATTTAAGTCACTCCGTCAAACGGACTCCAAGCTGACTTACTATTGGTCACAAGGTAATGTAATTGTTATTGTCTCGTTGGTATAAATGCATGGGGGATAAGTATAAAGAAAAATTATGAAATTTTGGGGCAACTTTTTTGAGCAACTTTTTATAATGTTTTTATGCTGAGGATTACATGGCTTTTTTTTTGTTTATTTATTTCAGCTCCAACTAGACCTCAAGCAACAAATGTTGCGACCAAAGGAACATACGGACCTGAAGGTAAGCACAATCTAAAATACTATGATTTGCATTAAAACCATCTCACAAATGTGTGCATGACCGTGGCGTATATGGAACCATGAGGGACAGAATGCTCCCTGTATGGGTGGAAGCGGAGTGAATATGGGGGTGAATGTGGAGGTATTGTGGTATAGTGGTTCATTCACTTGACTCTCAATCTAAGGACTGAGGGTTCGAACCGGGGTTCGAATCCAAGCCCGGTGCCAACGTCCTTTGACAAGACATTAATCCATATTTACCACTCTTAACGCAGGGGTTAAATGGATACCAGGTATGATGATAAATTCATTGTAGTTTTTCCGGCATTGTGACAGTCTTTAAAATGGCGCCTGGTTAGAATGCTCCCCAGGGTGTGAAAAATGTGCATACATTGTGTGCGGGAAAAGCCTTAATCCGATGATCGGGGTAATAACGTGATTAAGGTTGTGTTGCGTAGATCCAATACAAATGTTAACAAAATGTTTTCTTTGCTATCAAACAAGGAGAGAGCATTGATGGATGTGCCTCTCCATTACATTACAGAGCATAAGTTTAAAAGTTTGAAACCAAATACTCATGTTATAACAATTAATGGACGAATACGGGTTAGTGCGAGATAATTTTCGAAGTCAATACAGAAGTGAAATAACAAAAGGACAAGAAGGACAAGAGAGCATTCCGACAACTTGAATGAAAACAAATCATTAACGAAGACGAATTTATCCTGAACTAATGTCTGACCTATAGCAAAATAATCTCTGAGAACAATACGTAGCTGGATCATATTGTGCGACCTGATGCGAGATTGTATTCATGGGAATATTCCATTCCAATTTTCATTTCATACTTCATAATCATGGGTTAAAGACATGTCTATGGTCCATGGAATCCACATAGAAAGTCTTTTAATACTGGGGGAGGAGATAAGGAGAGCCTCTACTTAAGTCGTTAAAATAATTTTTACAATTGATAATTGGAAGAAGAAAAAAGAAAAAAGAAAAATATATATATATAAGCAAGTTTAGTGAAACTGCAATTTCTGACAGTGCTCAATATATATATATATATATCGTACCAATAAAGTGTAACCTTCCAACTCCTATATCTTGTTGTTGTTGGGGGTGTAAATGAAGCACACAATCTCTACGTTCCTATCGTTTATGTTTCATTCATGTTGGGATCGTTGTATATATACTTTCAGAATGTTTCTTTTCGATTAAGGATGAGTTCTGACCACAGGACATCTTCAGTATAGTAGTCGAGGATTCTTTCTCAACTTGAAGTAAATTTCAGTAATGAAAGTGGTTATGTAAGTTGTCTGTATCCAAATAAGAGGAGGGGGTGGGGTAGGGAAAAGATAATCTCAAAATGAATACATATTTCTCTTCAATGATAGAGAAACATGAATGAAATAGAACATCTCATAAAATAACATTCAGTAAGATTTCAATTATATTATGCAGATACCATTCCATGTATCTTGTGAGATATTTGTGTATTAAATTTTGATGTCGTTATATTTTTTTTTCTTTTTCAGAATGTTTCTTTTCGATAGAGGGTCACGATGGCGAGATCTCATCACAGGATGTTTTCAGGATTCTAGATGAAGAAAAGAGATGGCCCACCAAGATCGACTGTACATGGGAGGTCACTGTCCCTCCTAATAACAAGGTGTGTAGCGATCAATCTTCCGGAATAGGAGGGATACAAGTAAATGAAAGAAAAATCCAAACTTTTGTAATAAGTTCATTTGTAGGAGAGCAGAAAAATAAGATAAACAGAATGGCGAAGTTGGAGACAAATCGCACCAATGATAACAGAGTTATGAATGTTTGAAATATGATATCACTAAATATATGTGAATTTCACATTTATGGCAATTCGAAATGTGAGATCACTGAATATATGTGAATCTCAAATTGGCAATTCGATAGGCGGACAATTCCCATGTTGGTCGCGCATAAAAATATCTTTGATTTTCTATTTTCCTCCAAAGTGCCTTCTTCCTTAGAGAATTACTCAAAATATATTGAGGACATCATATTATCATTGGTTCTCGAAAGAGAAAAGAATGTTCAAAATACATTATGATACAATAACAGGCACTACGTCATATAATAGTGACGTTGCCGATTCAGCCAATTTGAAGTACCCATACTTTTTACATACATATCTTTCTTATTTTGTGCCCGATTTCATTCAAACTTTCAACCATCTATTTCTCTGTTTGTTCTTCTTTCTTTTACAGTATTTGTCTATAAAGACTGGATTTCCTTTAATAACTCAATATAGAAAGTTAAGCTTTTTTAATTGCGTAAACGTTCATGATTATGTTCTGTCGGGACGGGCATTCCTGGACTTATTTAAAACTCGAACGAGATAGACGTGTACAAACATTCATCGGTCTTTCCAATATCACGTCAAAGCTGAAGACATTCCTAACACTACACTAGGAGAAACATAATCCCCCTTTTGGAGGAAAGAGCTTGATCCATTGATTTATACAAATCTCCTTAACAAATACGCAGATGTTTTGCCAAACTGTATCCCTTAGTTTCATAGATTTGTTGACGAACAAGGCTAGTTATTCTATTCATATCTTCTGCAGGCAAAAATGTACAAGCTCTTTGAGTAATGTGATAGAGATTGAAAAGTCTTTGCTGGACTTCGTAAGCTAGTCCTACTTCACAAACTAACGAAAGAGAATCTCTTTCCCCCTGTCTCTGTCAGATAATGGTCGAGTTTGCGGAGTTCTCACTGCATTATGTCAATGAGTGCTACATGAATCAAATCATGATATATGATAAGTATGCCTGGGATTTGAAGAGAATGAAAACCTTCTGCAGCACGTCAGCTCCGTCCATCATGACTACCAGTAACAGGGCTTATATCCGCTTCCAGGCTCACAGTCGGAGTGTCAAGAACTATTGGAAGATCGTCTACACGGCCTACAGAGATTGTAAGAAATGCTTCTGATTCATTCTGTAATAAAGTGCATGAAGTTGCCGTTTTAAAAACCAATAGACATCTTCGTGTAATCCGATTGATAATTATAAAGTAATTTGAGTAGAAAATAAGAAACATACCTCAATTATTCGGTAAACTGTGCGTGTTTTCTGCCATGCTCATTATCATTAACAGTTGAGGTTCTATCAGGAATATAAAGAAAAGAAAAGAGAAAATAAGGAAAGTTTAATTTCTTTACAGTACAATTAATATTGAACATTGTTTGTCTAAATTGTCAAAATAAAAGATGTTACAATGAATATACTACCTCAAAAGAAATGTGTCCCATTTCATTTAATCAAAGAATAATATTTATTTCAATAATTTCACTTCCATCACTTTTGAAAATATGTGAACTTCTCTCTATTACAGACGAGTGCAACGAGACAGCATCGTTCACATGTGGTCAGTACATGTGTATTAATCGTGACTTAGTGTGTAACGGAAGACAGAACTGCTATAACAACGCATATGATGAAGATGATTGTGGTAAGATACCAAAATATAACTGCCTCTCAACATCATCTTTAATGATACTTCCTTCCCAAGTTCGGGTACTCTAATTTTCCGAAAGCCATATGTTCCGACATATCTATGTCTCGTCTCAACTGTGGCACGTCATCGCTATGTCTTGTCGCCCTTCTGTCTCAACAACCCTATGTCTTGTCATACCTATGTATCGTCACCCCTTTGTTTCGTCCCACCTATGTCTCGTCAACACTGTGTATTGTTTCACCTATGTCTCGGCATTACATGTCTCGTCACCACGTTGTATCGTCACCCCTTTGTCTCGTCACCCACTATGGTATGGTATGGTATGGTATTTATTTCATTCTTCATAAAAAACATATACAATACATACAGAGTATTAAAAAAAAAAGAGAAATATATAAATACATGTAGAAGGGTAACATTACAGATAATATGAATACAATAAAATTAACAAGGAAACTAGTTAAGAAAGAAGATTCATGTCGAATGAGGGGTCAACAAAAAAGAGCATTTAGCCTTGTTAAACGTTGACCCCTAAACAAATACGTAATTAACATAACATTAAGAAGAAAAAGAAAGCAGGTAGAAACAGTAAAACGGAAAAGGAAAACATTATACCAAAAAAACAAAAAAAAAAACACATATATATATATACTATGATATTCAGGTTGTTGAGTACAAATTTGATAAAAACAATCGGAAGGAACGTTTAAAACTATTTAAGGAAGGTTGATTCTTTAGATGGTTTGGAATCGTGCTCCATAGATGAGGACCTTTATAAAAAATAGTAAACTTTGAAATATTAGTTCTAACTTTTGGCAGATGGTATTCAACAGCATTACGTGTATTATAATTATGTATGTTACTATTTAAAATAAATTTTGATGTAAGTGGAGATGGTAATAAACCTCTAGAACACATAAACATAAATATTGCAATATTCAATCTATTAATGTCATAAACATTTAGGAGATTTAACTGGGAAAAGATTGGCAAAGTATGAGCATGATATGGTGAATTAGAAATTATTCTTATGGCTTTTTTCTGCAAAACAAATAGTTTAGTAATAAAATAATCATGATTGTTTGACCAAGCAATATTACAATAATTGACATGGGAGAAAATCAATGCATAATATAACATAACTAAAATATGTCTTGGAAAATGTCTCAAACGGTAAATAATGCCAACAGCTTTGGCAACACGATTGCATACGACACCAACGTGTTCATGCCATGTTAAAGATTCATCGATATGAACACCTAAAAATTTCACACAAGAAGTACGATTAATTTGATGACCATAAAAATTGATTGCAAAATTATCTTCAATACGTCGTTTAGTGAATACAATATATTGGGTTTTAGCAACATTCAAAACTAGTTTATTGTTGATCAACCATTCACTTAATTTATTTATTTCAGAATTGAATGAATCAACTAGCGTACGGAGATTATTATGAGACATGAACACGCTGGTATCGTCTGCAAATAATATAAAATGTAACAAATCAGATGAATTCACGATATCATTAATATAAATTAAAAAAAGTAAAGGACCAAGTATTGAACCCTGGGGCACCCCACAACGAATGGGCAAATATGAAGATTGTTGATTTTGAATAGAAACAAATTGTTGACGATTTGATAAATAATCTTTAAATAATTGCAAAAGAATTCCACGAATACCATAAGCCTCTAATTTACGTAACAAAATTACATGATCTAAAGTATCAAAGGCTTTACTTAAATCAAGAAATAAACCAATTGTGAACTGTCTAGAATCAATTGCATAAGAAACTTTATCAATGAAATTAAGAAGAGCAGTCGTTGTGGAGTGTCCCGTTCGGAAACCATGTTGATTTTCAGACAAAATATTGCACGATGTTAAGAAAGTACTTAAACGCTTATATAAACACTTTTCAAAAATTTTAGAAAAAATAGGGAGGACAGAAATAGGCCGGTAATTATGTACATTAGTGCGATCACCACTTTTAAAAACTGGAATAACTTTGGCTATTTTCATTTGATTAGGAAAAATACCAGTTGACAAACAAGAATTGAAAATAGAACAAAGAGGTACACAAATCAAATGTATAATTTTCTTGACAACAGTAATATTAATATCATCATAACCAGCACTGGTACCATTCTTCAAACAACGAACGATATCGATAATTTCTTTACATGATATAGGAGTAAAATATGCTGATTTGTCATTAACAAATACATTATCATTGTAGAAACGGTTGGAATATTGCACATTGTTTGTCAGATTGAAACCAATATTAACAAAATATTCATTAAAGCTTTTAGAGATATCTTCTTTGTTTGTAATTGTGGAACCATTTACATCAATTTTTTCAACACAATGTTTGACAGATTTCGTACCAAGTTCTCCATTAATAGTCTTCCAAATTAGTCTAATATCACCCTTATCATGATTAAATTTATCCTTAAAATATTGATATTTAGCTTTCTTAATTTCATTTGTAACTTTATTTCTGTATTGTTTGTAAACTCTTTTCCTATATTCAGTTGAATTTTTCAAAGACTTTTCATACAATTTCCATTTCTTTTTAATTTTTTTCATCAATACTTTATTTATCCATGGTTTATGCTTACGTCTATTAACATTTATTTCTTGCAAAGGAAAGCATTCTTCATAAATGCGAATAAATTTTGACAAAAAGCAACTATAGCTCACATTACAATCACTTGATTTCAAATTCCATCTGACATTTCGCAATCGTTTACTGAATTCAAAAATATTACTATCATTAAACTGTCTTTTGCTTATTACATATTTCTTTTCCTTGATTTTATGATGACAAACACTAAATACAGGAAAATGATCTGAGATATCAACTAAAATAGCACCGTTTAATTTATTAGTAACATCATTAGTAATAATATTATCTAATAAAGAAACACAACGATCGGTCACCCGAGTAGGGTGATGAATGAGTGGATACATAGAAAAAGTTACCAGCATATTTAAAAAGTCATTAGCTTTATGACAAGATGTGGTATTTAATAGATTAATATTGAAATCTCCCATCAGATATACAATTTTATTCTCTGTGTTTATTTTATGAAGAGCTGAACCAGTTATATCTAAAAATTCTTGCACAGACTGATCAGGTGGCCTATAAATTACTCCTATAATTATGTTCTTATTACATACATTCTCTATTTCAATAAATATACTTTCTATTATTCCATTGTTAATATCTAAATCACCTCTATGTTTATGAATCAGATTTTCCCGAATGAACACACCAACACCCCCTCCTCTCCTCTCAGCTCTACTATTATGTAAGAAGGTAAAACCTTGAATATTGCACAATAACGAGTTGTCTTTCAGCCAAGTTTCAGTTACGCCCATAACAGAAAACTGAAAATTCAGACTATTTAACAAAGCAGAAATACCATCAAAGTTACTTAGAATACTACGACAATTCATATGTAATATGGAAAAATTTATCGAGTTCAAAGAATATTTCAAAAGGGTAGAATTAAGGTCATCAGGCAAATAAAAAGATTGATCTATTCCAAACGTCTCATTATCTCCAATCATAGGTGACAAAATATGGGAAACTGTACTCAAATCAACATTACTGATCGCACGTTCATATGATGCCCGAAGGGTCATCATTCACACGTATACACATAAATACACAAGAATAAATATTCACAAAACCAAAGTTATTACTACTATTACATAAAAAAGAAAAAGAAACAAAAATGTTCTAAGAGTACAGAGTACTGCAGATTTGGAATGCACCACAGTAATTGCATGATTGATAACAATGGGGAAATGGGTCTCTGTAGAGTCAGTGATAGCTTCAGTGCTAGAGAAAAGTCTTTAATAGTCACTTTAAGTCATTTTCGCTCGTAATTAATCGTTTAATTTGTTTGCCTCCACTCGTTGGGAAGAGGCCGAGTATTCTGCCATCGGAAGACCATGCGGTAAGTGTCTTCTCACAATTTTTCGCTTTTGATAGTAAGTTAGCGTTTGTCTTGGTAAGGTCCTCGTCGATCCCCATTCTTGTGCCTTTCAGTTCGCGTCGCTTTGACAAGACAAGACTCCGCATCCGGTACGACACGAATTTAGCGATGATGACGTCAGGTTTTGTTCCGTCATTGCGTTTGTTGCTTCTTGTTGAACGGGCAGGGGGATTCACAGATTCCGTAGTCTTTGTAGGCAGGCGGTGTGATCGTTCGATGTCCTCTTTCTTCAAGGTCACTTTGAGCCTTTCTCGAGCAAGCTCACAAATGAGGTCATCAGTGTCCTTTCCCTCTTTGTGTGCGACACCGTAAAAACGCAAACAATTGCGTCGCGAGTATTGTTCTTGGATGTTGGCTGTGCGCTGGACCCTGGTCAGCGATGATTGTTGGTCTTCAATCAACTTTTTTAGATCAACGATCTCCTTCTCCCTTTCATTGAAACGACATTCTAGGTCCATGATCTTCCCTTCATTTATATCAATTCTATTCAAAAGCACGTTGATCTCTTCGTGAAGGGCTTCTCGGACTGTTTGTCGGATTGAATTAAGAAATTCTTCTCCCTTTATGTACCGCTGGATAGCGTCATTAGCAACGGATTTCTCCGTATCACGTGATGAATCTGAAGGCATGATGGCGGTAAAATGCAAGAGGGTGTAGAAGCTTTGCGATTTAGATGACAAAATGAAGTAAAATATGAAGATATGGTGGAAAATTAAGCCAATACACAGACAACGGACAAGGCCTATGTATATCCAAAGTTGCAATATGTAACATAAAAGTCACAGGAAGCTGAAGTTTGAGATAGCAGAGATATTATAAGCGGTGTTATGAAATGGTTCATTAAAATCATAAATATCAAGAAAGGAGAAAAGTCAGATAATGTAGTTGACCCAGGATATAATCTTTAGGTGCATTCCAAGATGCAAAATTATTGTCAAAATATCACATTATAACAAAATGCACAGGCCAGGTTCAAGAGTTACGTACCAGAAGTTCCAGAACATATATTGTCAAGTGCGGGTCTACCACAGCTGTACGGTGTACATAGCCAACACATTTGGGGTAGTCGCAAAACTTTGACGAAACCACATAAAATCCATAAATTTGAGGTTAGAAATCCATGAAATCATCCAGAAAGTATCACAATATGCACTTGCAGATATAAAGTCAAAATAATTCCAGTAAATAAAATCCAGTACATAAAATGCAGTTTTTGCTTCAGAAAAGCTTCAGAAAATTTCAGTGCGGTCGTTCGCGGTCGTTCCAGAATCTTCATTATGTTTTGTCACACCTATGTCTCGTCACCACTATGTCTCGTCACGACTATGTCTTGTCTCCCCCATGTCTCGTCACCAAATGTTTCGGCACTATGTTTTGCCCTCGATGTTTTGATAACTCTAATGTTTTGTAACTCCTTTGGTTCGCGTTCCCAATCTTTCAGCACCCCTTTGTTCCGACACTCCTGTGTTCGACGACCTTATGACTTGACACATAGAAATGCTACGACACGCATGTTAACTCACCCCAAAGTTTCAACACTCTCGTGTTTCGGCAACCCTGTGGTTTGACATTCCTTTCTTCAAATACCCTTATGTTCCAACACCACAATGTTTCAACACCTATACGTCTCGCCACCCCTATGTTTCGACATCCTTCCTCAATTTGAATTCTTACACCCCGTTCTTCCGATGTTCCAAAGGCCCTGTGTTCCGACACAATTTTATGCCTTATATCCCCGACAATCACCACCAGGACAATTACCATCTGTCAGCATGATGAGATAGAACAGATGACGATGCAATTAAAAGATTTACATGATTCTATCTCAGTGGCAGCATTTAGAGAATGAAATGTACTAACGTAAAACAATATCAATAATTTAAAACACCACTCAATGACAGAATTACAATCCTTTATTGTTATAGACAATACTCTCTACCAGTAATCCTTTTTTTATGCAGTGATATATATGATTTAATATATACATGTATATATATATATATATATATATATATATATATATATATATATATATATATATATATAATATATTTATTCTTATCTCAGAACCGGAGAACCCCACTTCGCTGCTGAATGGAAAAATTGACGCCGTGTTGGGATGCATGATGTCCATAATCTTCCTCGTCACCCTCATAACCATCTGCCTCACGTGTCGACATTCATGGCTACGAACTCGTGAACGAGCCAAGGCGATGTCGACACGACGGAAAGCTGAGAAACAAGCCGTACAATATATGATGGACAACGAAGCAAACGCAGACGCACAAGAACTAAGTCCAATGGGAGAGCGCGAAACTACTAATTACACAGTGTGGAACAAGCCCAATAATTTGGCAGACGATAATTTCGTTTCTTGTAATAATACGTCGTCTTCGGCTAGTCGCCATCTTGGGACGGGCAGGGCTTCGCTGACCTCACAAGTGAGTGATTATGTAGAGCATATGATGGATAGGATAGGGAGTGTTCATGGACAAGGTAGTGGAGGGAACAGCGAAGGAAGGCTGACCCGAGCTAATGCCAATAATGTGTGGACAAGACAATCATTTAGCGACCACCCCAGGACGGTTCATAAACATCCTACCAAGGATATACAAGTTCATGTGTAAGACTTCTTCAAACACCTATGATTATGTAAGCTTCATGTGTGTATAAACCAATATTGCCAAATTAAACTTGAAGACCGAGAGGGAATCTTGGGCATCCTTGCAATTTTGATAAAAGTAGCGAACTTCCATTATAGATAACCATCTCTTACCAAATATTCCTCCTATTTATCACGTCTTGGTGTTGTCGTATATTTATCGTATCCTCTCTTCCAAATCGTAGTTTGTTCGTGATGTGGTCGGAGATATATCGTGCAGCCAAGCCTTTCAAGCATAATCTGTGCGTGTGCGAACCTCAAGAGAATTGTGTGCAAAGGTGCCGAGACCGAATGGTTCTTGAAGTCCGTATGGATTCTTAATTCATAATAGAAAGCTGTCCGTATAGGTACGATGCTAGATACAAGACTTGTAGGATTCGAGGAAGTATTTTATGATTATTGACGAATGTTACATGTTAGAATCTGATTAGTGCGTTGATGGTATAAACGCTTCGTTTTAACGTTCGCAGGGAGGTGTATGACACATCGAAGGTCAGACGGTGACGCCGATGCTTCGCCATCGCACTCATCAACAGAGCATGTGGATGATTTGTGGGATTGCGGGATGCACGACCATAAACTAACACGAACAATTACCCCCTATTTACCTCTTCATGATTTGAGCTGCATTTTAACGGACAACATTGATTTTATATGTGGACCAAATTGACGAGAGTCCGTCTGAAGAAAACTCACCGAAGATGGATGCAATCGATGTTCTAATTCTTTTGTCTTCTTAAAGCTTACTCGCTCAGTTCATCTGATTTCATATAGTTCATCCATTTAGTTCATCTGAAAAGAAGATGGATCATACTAACAATTATCTCAATACCTATGAACAGTACAATTACCCTTTTATCTAAAATAAAAAAACGAAGAAAAGATGTTTTGCAAGACGTAACATTATTTCCCACACTACACAGAGATACATTCAAATTGTTTCCTCCACATTTGCCAAAAAAAGACGTTGAAAATAATGGAGAGTGTGGTAAGTATGTGATAGTTTTCTCTCCGCTATTATTCACTTCATAAAAGTATTTTTCATTCGGGGTCATAATTATGTGGCAAATTATTATTTTTATCATCGACATGAGAAAGATAATTATAAGCATTATTATGTCTTTATCCAGTATGAGATGGAGAGGACATCCCAAAATCAATAAAACTGTTTGAAACTTACTTTTTGTAGCATTTGATGCTGCGATATTGCAGTAAGTGGCCCAAATAATTGTTTCTTTTTCTTCTTCTTTGGAGCATGTTCCAGTCATCAGAATCATCCGCCATCTTGGATCCGCCAACTTGACCAGGCAAGTCGCCTTCTTTGAGATGGTTTGAAACTAAAAGTAGAAGCATGGGACTGGCATACGGTGACTGAATGCGTTTATCCACACTCATTGTCAGATCAGATCCAATGACAATCTAAGGACACAATCCGATGGATGAAATTACAACTTTATATCAATTGAAAGCTGAAAAAACGTAGAATACAAATATAAAGGAATTACAAATATTTGCCCGTTCCGTCCCCCGCGTTATCCACGGTGGCCTGAAACGTGATTGCCGTGGCTGCCGGGATCATAATGTAAATCACATAGTTGAGGCGATGAGCCGTGCTTAATTAATGCAAAGTCATTGTGAATATGCGTACTCCACTTTAATAAAATGATGTCATCAAGTCGATAGCTATTTTTTAGATCGACAACTTCTGATTTTCAGTCTTCAGAGAGTCGTTACTCCTCTGACAGACAATAACATTGCATATAATTGATATTATTGTAAGTAAATGTAAGGTTTCTGTTGATATATAATTCATCTATTTCATTTTCACTTCCGACAGGGTCCTCATAATGTTTCTCAACATACAGTTGCAACATTGAGCTTGAATGATAAAAACATGTACAATATAATTATGTATGTCGGATTTGCGCACGTGTGCGAAATCGGGTGTGGGGTAATACAATTTAACGAATAGCCCATGTTCGTAATGTAATCAGATTTAACCCATTTTGTTAAGTATATTGTTACAAATTAATCATTCATCTGTTAGTCAGATTGCGAATTGCATACATTACGTGGTGCTAGGTAGGACAAGCCGTGGTGATTGTCCTATCTATCAACATTTAATGTATGCAATTCGCATATGAATATTGAAATACAATTATTTGTAACAGGTAAACGAAATAATTTGAAACAAAGATTTGTGCATTAAATTTGATGATATTACGAGAATGGAGGGGGACTATGGGCTATTAATTGTTTCAAAACATAAAAGTTTTACCTAATGATCATAAATTGCCCTAATCTGTCACCCACTGTTTACCAACACGTGGATACGCCCCAGTCTATCTGCAAGGACTTTGTTTTTCGTATTGTTCTTTTTTCTTAGTTTAAAAACAAAATCCAAGTCATCAGCAAGTTCCACAGTACCGGACAATACAGGGGGCGTCGGCCTATCTTTTGTATTTAGGAGGGGGGATGCGTAGTGTTTTAATATTTTCCTCAGTGGACTGTACAGTTAAGTCAGAATTCATTCAGGGGCAACCTCCACTACCCCATCCCCGCCCCTCTTCTCAGGTTCGTCGCCGCTAGGGCGCTAGGCACTCTAAAGGAAAAGGGAACGAAACTCAAATTCACTCATGTATATTACTTACTTATAGCCTAATTAATCCTTTTCAGTATGTTCATATGATGTAATAGTATCATCGTGCTTCCTCAAGTAATTAGGTATGATAATGTTGTTAATATCGCTCAGATTTTGCGATTATTTAAATAATTTCAGCCATATAAACAATTTTAAGATTCGCATTGTTGGCTTGCTATAAGGTGTGTGTAACATTAAATTCCGAAAAATTGCGATATGTCTTAACAACATCAATATTCTGTCATCCGTTTATGTGTAAGTTGTTGCATGTGTTTCTCAGTTTTGTTTTGATTTTTTTATACATGACTTTTATTGGTTTACTGTGTAAGTATACGTTTTTTCTAACTCTCTCAACCCCCCTGTATTTTTCTCCTCTCTTCCTCTCTCTCTCTCTCTTTCTCTCTCTCTCTCTCTCTCTCTCTCACTCACTCCCTCTCTCGCTCTCTCTCTCCCTCTCTCTCTTTCTCGCTCTCTTCCCCCTCTCTCTCTCTCTCTCTCTCTCTCTCTCTCTCTCTCTCTCTCCCTCCCTCTCATTGAATGTGCTTGTCTTTCTATATCGGTGCAATAGATACAAAATAGTTACAAAATGTCAAATGATAAAATCTGTCATACTGTTTCATGCTAAAGCAGGTCAATGTAACGAAGCATTTTCACCATCGAGGTGTTCATTGTAATACTTGAGTGTTTTAGGCATGCTTGTCAAGGAAAATTTGAATATTTGTTGATTTTATCAATAAACCGTTTCACAGGGAAATAGAAAGAAATTAACGTCTCTGTGAATCAGTGGCGTACCTGGGGTACTCCGTCAGGGGGGCAAGTGACCGAAACAAACAAAAAAGGCGGTGCTAATTTTCACTTCTGGCGAGCGAGCGAGCGAGCGAGCAAAAAAAAATCTTTAAGTAACGTTTGGTATATAAACTGGTATTGTTGCAAGTTGGGGGTGGGAACATTCACTTGTTAGCGACGTTAATTTCATTTTTTTGCAAACTAGTGTAGCGAGCAAGAAAAAAAATCACTTCTTTTTTAATAATTGCCACTTAAACTTGGTTCAATTGTCCCATGCAGGGCGCGGGAACAATATTGTGTTTAGGGTGATTTTATACCCATTTTAGCTAGCGAGCGAAAATACATCTTTCTCTCAATGAATTGCTATATAAAATTTGTTTCATTGTTGCAGGTAGGGGGCGGGCACATTCGTGTTTAAGGCAATGTCAATCCCATTTTGGCGGGCAGGCAACCCCCTACATTTCTCTTTTTAATGATATTGTAGCAGGTTAGTGGTGGGCACATAATTCCACGAGCTAGCGAGCGTAGCGAGCGAAAAAAAAAAATCACTTTTTTTTTTATAGGGAAAATATGGTACATAAAACTTGGGTTCATTGTTCCATGTCAGGGACGTGATTATTAAAAGCGGTGTTAATTCTATTTTGGCGAGCGAGCGTAGCGAGCGAGCAAAAAAAAATCACTTCTCTTTATAGGGAAAATATGGTATATAAACTTGGTTTAATTGGTCCATGTCAGGGACGTGATTATTAGAAGCGGTATTATTTCTATTTTGGCGAGCGAGCGTAGCGAGCGAGCAAAATTTTTGTAATGATAATTGGTTCATAAATTTCAGATTTTTTTGTTGCAGGGCAGGGCTTACACAATCATGTCTAAGGTGATGTTAATTCCGTTTTGGCGAGCACGAGCACACCAAAACTTCTTTGAATAACGTTTCGTTCATAATTATTAACTGGTTGTTGCAGGTTTGGGCGGGCACGTTAGCGGTGTCAATTCCATTTTGGCGAGCGAGCATAGCGAGCAAGCAAAAAAAATAAATTCTCTTTTAATAGAAATTAATAAATAAACTTGTTTTTATTGGTGCAGGTCAGGATGGACGCAATCGCGTTTAACGCGATTCAATTCCTTTTTGGCGAGAGGGCGAAAAAACTCTTCCATTTTTAATGATATTGTTGCAGGTCAAGGGTGGGCACAATTGTTTCCAAAGCAATGTCTATTCATTTTATTCACGAGCGAGTGTAGCGAGCGAGAAAAATGAATTAGTCTCTTTTAGTAACATTTGGTACATATATTGTGTGTTATTGTTGCCATGGTTGCAGGTCGGGGCCCGTCGGGGCAGGCACAATTGTATTCTAGGCAATACTAATCCTTTTCTTTTTTCAGGGGGACGAGGAAGTGAAAACATTTAATACAAAATAGGCTAGCAAGCAGTTCACGCCAGCGAAGTGTTTCAAATTTGTTATATCACTTATATTTTCCTATTTTCATTTGTTTTAATTTTTCAGGGCCGTATGCGGAATATTTTTCTGATGGGGGAAGGGGGAAAGATGCGTTAAAAGTTTTCGAAGAATCTCAAACGCAAAAGGAGTGAAGGGAGTTCGAGCGACCGAACTGGTCATGAGGGTACTTTTGCATTTTCAAAAGTAGAATTGAAGGATTTGGTATAGGCCTACACTACATTTTCAGGAAAAAAACTGTACGATTTCAAAATATCTGGGGTCAACTGCCCCCCCCCCCCCTGGTGCTTACGGCCATGTTCTTTATTTTTTTTCCTGAAAATGTAGTGTAGGCCTATACCAAATCCTTAAATTCTACTTTTGAAAATGCAAAAGTACCCTCATGACCAGTTCGGTCGCTCGAACTCCCTTCACTCCTTTTGCTTTTGAGATTCTTCGAAAACTTTTAACGCATCTTTCCCCCTTCCCCCATCAGAAAAATATTCCGCATACGGCCCTGAAAAATTAAAACAAATGAAAATAGGAAAATATAAGTGATATAACAAATTTGAAACTCTTCGCTGGCGCGAACTGCTTGCTAGCCTATTTTGTATTAAATGTTTTCACTTCCTCGTCCCCCTGAAATTCCTTTCCTTTTCTTTTCCCTTTTTCTTCCTTTTCTCTTCTTCTTCCTTTTTTCTTTCCTTTTTTTCCTTTTTTCTCTTTCTTTCCTTTTTTCTTTCCTTTTCCTTTTTTTCTTTTTCTTTCCTTTCCCTTTCTTTTCTTTTCTTTCCCCTTTTTCTTTTTTTCCCCTGGAGCCCGTCAGGGGGGGCAGAGTGCCCCCCCTGCCCCCCCCCCCATAGGTACGCCAGTGCTGTGAATGAGCCTGGGAGTCAAAGTTTGTCAAAATACTGTTCGGTAGTGAGCCCTCTTGTGTTGTAATTGGGTATATTTTCCATCTCGGTTTCAAGTTGGTGTAAACGAGATTTCCGGGATGTTTATCAAAGGCAATCGAAACAAATAACACATGAAACTAAACACCCATGTTGTTTCAATACAAACAACTAAGACACTTTTATATATAAGTTTATCGGGATAAATCTAAATCCCTCAAACAAAGACCCAGTAGAATATTATTCTATGTTATCCTCATGGTGTTTCTTTTTCACATTTAGGAACAGTTTTTTTTATTTTATATTATTCCATTGTCTGCATTTTATATTTCTCATAAGCCTGGTGCAAACCTAAGAATGTCGGAATGTACTATTTCTGAATGTTAACAATATGAAGAGTAATGTTGTGTTTAATGTATGGTTGAAGTAACTGTATTGTTATTTTCTATTCTGAACATTGAAGGATAACATGAAAATTATGTTTTCAGTCGCACATTCGGGAATGTAATGTTATTAATGAGCCCTAATCAATTCATTAACTGAGAAAGGTCTTTTGGTGAGGTCAAATGTAATGTTGTGGAAGATCCATGGTAACGATCTACGTCAGATGTTTAGATGATTGATTGATATGCATCTTGTATACATCCATATTATAACTAGTCCTTTTTCGATGCAATATTATCATTGGTATGAATAAATTATAATACATGTACTTTATATAATTATGCAAAACCGTGAGATCATTTGAGTGCTTATTTGTCCATAGTTTGAAGCTGCTAACCTTTTGCTGATGAATGATTATACGTTAAATGCATCTATTGAAATACGAAGCTACAATCATATCATTCTAATGAGCTTCACAATTAGATATTATGCCTATGAAACATTTGGCTGTTTTTTTTTACATATAAAATTAACTGTTATTAGTAGTCAAATAAATGCCAGTTTGGGATTCACGGGTAGGCAATCTTGTTTGATATTGCTAAGAGCTCTCTGGTTAGTTTCTCTGATTTTCTCTTTTCAACCCAAATCATCTTTACTAATTATTGATACCCTTAATTACAATCACGAACGAAATAAAACACTCAACACTCTGCGAATACAATCTACCATATCGCAAAGAATACGAAATATTTGCTCGAATTTTCATATCAAGCTTTTGTCCGTCAACAGTCCCCTCACAAGCTATCATAATGAGTATGACTATGGCATTCCTGTGTTATGACACGGATTGCTTGCAGTAAGAAAGGGGGCGTCCCATACGTGACGCGGAAATAAAGTTAGTCGTGTCATGGGGCAATCATTATCCAATGAGGGATAGTATGTCGCCATATTAACTCGACATCTTCCGGCCTTAGCACCAAATGTTTAATTCACGTTAGCTCTTCCTTTCGCAAACAAAGCATACATTACCATCCTCATTGCCCCCGTTACTCATATAAGATGAAAGGGGGAGGGGAGATGAGAGAGGGGGAATTTGAGTGGTGAGTGAATTTGGAGGATAGGTGAGTTGAGGGTGTGCGTAAGTGAGGAGTGAGGGTGTATTTTCAGCTGATGTGAGAGTGCATAAGAAGGGGAGGAATAAGGTAAAGAGAGCAGGAGGGAGATAGATAGAGAGAGAGAGAGAGAGAGAGAGAGAGAGGGAGAGAGAGAGAGATGGGGGAGGGGTAGAGGGAGAGTTGATATGGGTGGCATTTGACAGCTCGTCGCAATGAAAGTCGTTTAAATTTCTGCAAGCATTTATACATAAAGATTAACAGTCATCAGAGGAACTGCCTGTAGTCTATTTTGAAGTTTCAAAATGTCGTCATTCTCTCTCTCTCTCTCTCTCTCTCTCTCTCTCTCTCTCTCTCTCTCTCTATGTCTCTCTCGTTGTTCTCTCACGCCTCGTACCCTTTTATTCTCTCCTATTCTATCTCGTTCGCCCTCTTTTTTCCTCCTTCTCTCTCTCTCTCTCTCTCTCTCTCTCTCTCTCTCTCTCTCTCTCTCTCTCCATCTCGCTGTCTTACTTTGCGCTTTTACATAATGTATATATATAAAGAGATCCATACACATACACATTCTGCCTAATCATTTCCTAGGGATGTTGCTCGAACCCAAGAAGATCTGCTACAGAGCGGAGCCTGGAAGGCCCATAATGCATAATAGGCAACACGCACTGCCCGTGGCTTCAAGATATTCTGTGACAGTTTCTAACAGTGATAAATTCTCATCCCGAGGCGAAAAGGGGAAAAATAAGGCCTATGTTACATTATTTTCAAAATAAGAAATCCTTCATAGCCAGCGTCTGATGTGTGAGCAGGAGGGCCCCTCCGACTCGCCCGGGGAACCTTCGGGGGTTGAACATGATGGAGGAGTAAGAAACGCGGAGAGAAGTATTCAGGCAAGAAGGAGCTCTTAATTTAAATTAACCCACGACAGAGCTAGAACAACAACCTCAAAATTTGACACGGATACATTTTTCCTGACTTATTTCCACCTTTTGGGAAAAGAATGAAAGAGGGGAATTGTTAACAAGGAGAGAGAGAGCACTGAGAACAGGAATAACAGTTGAACAACTTAAACCCAGCGTGAAAATAATGTGCAGTAGCTAAGCCAGCTCAATTCATTGTTTGGAGATGTATCAGAACCCAGTTTTTCATGATTTTCGTGGTTTTCATGATTATTGTGCTGCCTACAAAAAAAAAAAATCGGAATTGATGGCTATTACTTACAAAGATGAAAATCATAATGATGAGGGTAATAAAAAATTGATAACAATTCAATATAGTATCTGATATCAGCAATTGTGCTTTTTTAGATGTTAATATATATTTCAAAAATTAATCTTTGGAAGGGGAATAGTATGGATACACTGAAGACAAATTTAAATAAAAACTATATACAATACTATCATTATTATATAATAAAACACGAGAGCATTTATTTTCATAGCGAGTGATAATAAAGACTTACATAGTTTACAACTTTCTGATTAAAGCTTTGATACTATTTACAGACGAAAACAAATCATGATCATTGATTAGATAATAGAAGAGAATACTTTAAACAATGGTGAATTAAACATATATATGTTTTGAAATTACATACACGAATATCCTAAGAAAACAAAGCTAACGACAAGATATATTTCTTTTCCTAAGAAATTGTTAGTTACATGTTAACTCCATGTATAGAATAATACTGAAAACTGCTACATTTGGCAAATCAACTAAACCAGTTCAAAAGAAAAATTCGTTACATTACGTTCAATATTCCATTCGTCATCTCCCTGTTCCTCAGAATCATTTACTAGATCGATGGGAAACTATAAATGCTGAGTTTATTATCCACAGCATCATCATTTTTATTGTATCGTTGGAACGGTTGATTGAGAGGTAAAAAAACAATAAAAAGACATATCAAACTTCTTTTATGTAATTTAACCCTGTCGTTGATCAATATTTTGCCGGTGGTGCACTAAAGTTTCATTTTTTGACAGTTAAATAACAAAAGTCTAAAAAATAATTCAACGGTGTATGATGACAGATCCTATTACAACATCCACTATCAAAGAGTCAAAATAATTTGTGACACAAATATTATGTACATTAGTCCTTTTCTTCATCTTTTTTTGCTGGTCGGAGACAAAAAAAATTGCAAGCCAGTAGTTGCATGAACATTTGTAATGATATCAGTCGAATTATGATAAAAATAATTTAGACCTATACTGAAAGAAACCATCATAAAATCATCCGTGATAACAACTATACTATCACTATTATCCCTACTACTACTACTACTACTACTACTACTACTACTTCTACTAATTACTACTACTACTAATTACTACTACTACTACTTCTACTACTACTACTACTACTACTACTACTACTACTACTACTACTACTACTACTACTACCGCTTCTACGACTGCTGCTACCTACTATAACTATATATTATTCCTACTGCTACTGGTACTACTTCTGCTGCATTGGGCTAATACTACTACTACTGCTACTACTTCTGCTGACACTGCTGCTGCTACTACTACTACTACTACTACTACTACTAATAATAATAATAATAATAATAATACTATTATTACTACATCTGCTGCTGCTGCTACTACTACTACTACTAACTATTACAGCTACTACTGATCCTACTTCGGCAACATCTATACTACTACTGCTACTTAAACTATTATCTCCTTCTGTTTTTACTACCGACGATTATAATGATAATAAAACGCTGCACAAAAAATATGCAATAGACTTTGGAAACGAAAAACATTAAAGATGAAAAATGATTTGGATTTGAAATTCATTTATAGTTATATATTTTAAGAATAAAAGCAAATGCTCGACAAGCTTCAGAATTCACATTCCTTTTCCAAAACGAGCCTTTACAAACATGACGAACATTTTACGTGTAAATTTTTGAAAATCACTGGGAGTCTGTACCTCGAGGTATTTTATTCCACCTCTTGTTTTTGTTGTCAATCTTTCTTACCTAAACCACTTCCCATTTAGGAGGCTTCATGCCAACGCCTTAGAAATGACAGTGATTACCTTCAACAACAAAAATCGACAATAGCATGCATGAAAACGTATATGTGCTTGTACAGTATAATATATTCGAAACGCAACATTTTAGAGTCAAACCTAAATCAGTCACATAAATACACTTTCATGAATATGTAACGCATCTAATAGCCTATCACTGTAAACGCGATTAAACACGTAAACACCGTGTTCCGTAAACATATTTTTCTTTTGTAGAACTGATACAATGGTCAACGCTGTTTTTTTTTTTACAAGAACATTGTACATACGATAATGAATGTTGAGAAAGAGGTTCATTTTAGCGCAAGTATTGTTGTTTCGCTCGCCCACAGAGTCTTTCTAAATATATGAAGTAAGGAAAGAAGAAAACCCATCAAGCAAAGCTCGAGGCAGGATCATTCAAAAGCAATGTAAGACTATAATATGTAGTGTTAACCGCCTGCATGTAAAAGTTATATATGTGAGTAGAATACATTTAACTACAATACATTAAATGAAATTCTGGTGGAGCACACAATGTAATAGATCAAACAAAATGTTTATAGAAAAGGGAACTGTTTATCTAGTCAAATGCACTGTTATGGAAGGACCTCATTTACCAAAGAATAATTACACCACTACAAATCTCAAAATCAATCTTCTTCTACGAGATGTTGAAAACTTGTAAACAAATGTTTGTGATACACTTTCCTTTACTCCTTTTCCTGACTTCTTACTCCAAACTTTCACTTTCTTTGGAAGTATTCGAAGTAAGATCTTTAATTCTTCTTGAGGAGCTGTGACAGGATACGGGTCATTAGTGAGATGGTGATCGTACTAGAACAACACGGAGACTACTGGACAGTTTAGCTGAGGGGTACGTCTGCACCCCCAGGGTTATCAGTCCCTTCAAAACAAAGACACACTCCCTGGAGATAGCTCCTCAACTTAAATCCGACTCTCTTCGTCAAGGCTTTGTTTCTTCAAGAAGTTGTTGATTTATCAGAAGCGCGAAAAAGGAGTACAATGCAGTTTAAGCTTCAAATAACGCCCACGCACAAACGCACAGTTCACAAATTATTAGGCCTGGTATTTGTTTTCTTGCTAATGAGGGTAAAGATTTGTTAAGGACCAACTCGAAATGGTCGTATAACTTTGAAAAGAGAAGGGGGATGTGTAACAAAAAGTGATTACTTGTCATACATTTTAAAATCGAGAAAAGGCCTCGTCTGACTAGAGGTTCACGTGTTCATAATTGTAACAGAAGTAATGAATTCGTTTATGAATTATGACAGGATGAATAAAAACACATCTATGTAACACATATAATCTTGAAGTTTACCGAAACGGCAATAACTGAATTCTGTAAATATAACGTAAATCTAGTAACAAACTGGCTAGTAAATTCTGATCGTAAGCACTCTGCTACTAAGAGATCGCTATACTGATTATTCATACATGCATTTTGATACTATATTATAAATGTGTGCATGTCACTTTTTTTTACTTTCCATTTTTAATATATACGTTTCTTTTTTATTTAAAAAGCAATCATAATGTCTTAGTACCATTAATTCCTACTCAAATTTTGATCGATCTGACTCGCGTATTGTCCACATTCAAACAATAACAAAACAAATATAAATTTGTAATGAAATCAGTCAATTATCATGATATGTTAATGAAAATCTTATAAATGAATAACACATGAAGACGGTATATGATATAATCTGAACATATACTTCAACATGAACACAAACTAAAGTATGACTCATAATAAATGTACAGATGTATGATCCATAATGGCAGACCAATGAATTTTGATTTCTAGTGTAATACACTTCAAGCATTAAGCATGTGACATTACGCAACAGTAAACAACCAAGGTCAGTACACCATTAAAGAGTGAGACGCATTGATCTTAATAGTCTTACTCTTAAATAATTATATCCAATCATTGTAATAATAGGCTAAACTATGATATTATATCGATTAGAACACAATAAGCTGAGATGTAATCTACGCACCAAATATTGAAGCCTTTAGACGTAAATCAACAAAACAGAAATTCAATGAAATGCCAATCACACAAAATACGAGGTTCTGCTTACCGGTTTTTCATTAGCCATGTAAGAAATACCGTTCTGCTTTCAGTTTTCACATGATTATCAAAGAGTAATGTCTTCCGAGAGATTTAAACATATTCAGTTAGCTAAAATCAGTCGATAAAAGTGCCTATAAGGACACAAATAAAACAACGTAAGTGGTTAAGTAAAAGAACTTTTCATACCAATTCCTTGGCCATGTTTCATAAGAGTATAGTTATCAATAACCGTGAAAGAGCAATAACGGTTATAAGCTACTGAAATTGATGCATTGATTGGTTAAGAGCAGGTTTGTCAAATAATCCGAACATGTGTTATTGATAAAACAAGTATTATGAAACAGGGCTTTGGTTTAGGTCAAATTCCCGGAAATAAATTCCAACAGGTTCTATAGAGGGCGTCTCATGGTTCTGTCCTGCTTGACAAAGCCAAGCAGGTGCTATGCGATTTGGTGACACAATATCGTAGCAGCTTGATGGACACATACTATATCCATTAGTATTTGATTATAAAGCGATATATTCAAAGTGTGTTTTTTTCGCCGTCAATTCCTTACTCTCCCAAGATCAGGATTTATCAGACAGTAAGCGTTGGAGAGTGGGTGAGGTAAAGTTACGTAAGTTGTCCATATTTTCTGGAGAGGACGTACTCACTGAACTGCGACCCCTCAATACCACCTCCACTGGAGGCGATCACACCGAAATTGTTCTGAAGCAGGCGCTGCAGGACCTGTACCGTGTTCATCTTACAGAAACCATTCAATGGAAACCTGATGACATAGTTCGAATCCTGTGCCCAACCCGCTGCCGTTGGGCTTGAGTTACAGATGATGCTTCCTACCTCTGGAAACAGCTCGTAGATGATGTTCTTGTCACCGCTGAGGGAGATACGCTCGACGCAGTCCGGTGAGGTATGAACGATTACACACTCGTTACCGGTACAACCACTCTCCAACTTAATGGCGGGTGTCTTCTCCCGCTTCTCTTGAGTGGTCTTTGAAGATTCTTCAGAAGACTTCATCTGCTCCAGAGCTTCCATCATGGGTGTGAGGTTGTAGTAACGTGCTTCCTCGTACAGGGCCTCCATTTCGGTAAAGTCACCAGGAAGAAGCAGTCTGGCTGTTCGCATGTAATTTAGGATGTAACGAAAGAGATGTCCATCCCTATCGATGAAGTAATGTTGCTTCAGAGAGTCCAAGATGATGGGTATGTGGCCAGTGAAGAGCTTGCTCAGCCGCGACTCGGGGAACTTGGTCAGCGTCTCCAGCGTGCTTGTGTAAATCTGACCTCCCACATCAATGTGGACGGGAGCGGTGTATCGCGTATTGGGGGCCACTCGAGGTACACCGCTGTGTTGAGTTTGTGAGGAGGATTGGTGTTGGGTGGTAGAAGGGGTGGTGATGCCTGTCGATGTGGGTGGTGGTGTCACGGAGTTGGCTCTGGGCGTGGTCACTGGTGATGGTGAGAGCGATGATGACATCTTACGCTTGACCCCCGACATGAATGACGTAGATATCTGCAAGTATTCGAGACAAAGAATATGTTATGCCTAAGTCTGTTAATACAATAGCACGACATCAGACATCTGCATGTCTTCTGGAATTAATAGACAGTCTACTATTGAATCATTGTCTCCCGTGTATTGGATAAACTCTGGAGTGACAGCGCTATCTTCTTACAATTTCAAAATATGCAACTTAAAGAGAAGCTAAAGAAAAATGATAAGCAGCTGGCAGTGTTCCTAACGTGTACAGAGTAATGCATTAACGAGCCTTGAAGTCAGCAATAGCTCCATCATGATTTAAAATATTCTTGGCTTGGAGAAGGAGAGCATGGCTGGAGGGTATGCGAAGGGCGCTGGCTTCTGATCAAGGATTTATGACAAATGCAAATTCATGAGCTTGTGTGCATCTTATCAAACGGAAATGAAATTACACAAAAGAGTGAAGAACTTCCTCGTGTACACACATGGTTAGCTAAACATGATACATGTCAAGATTTGACATTGTGACTTATCACTTTGTTGAAGATGTGCTTACTCTGTATTGGCAAAGTTGCATTTGATTTAGTATTTAGATAACCAGAAGCAGCCATGGAGGGGCACATAGCTCATGCCAACCACACTTTCTGGAGCCCCTGGAAGTATCCTATCTAATTGTTAAAATACAAAGTCAACAGTTAAACTGTGTCTCTTCAAATATTGCGAAATTTCTATTCAAAATACGGAGATGTTTTAAAGTAAATTTGTACTCTAAAAACTCAAATCCGAAGCTTCTTTAAATATACTCTTTAAAATCTATTATATGTAAATGTTCATGTATTAAGTGGAACTTGGAAATAACAGATTGATACACAAAACATAGAATTAGGTTTACTTAATGTCAACCAATATACTTCTTGAATATGGTTATTGAGCCATGAGATGATTCACTGAATTCACCAAATATCTTGGAATACATGTTTTGTCTGACAATCAAAGTCGTTTTTGTATAATGGGGCTGAGTACAATTTAAACTTTCGTAATACAATATCGAATCTGAATTAAAAATAGTGCTTGCATTAGACGAAATGCACTATGGAAAGCATCTGAAATGTTTTTTGTCTCTTTTCCTTAGCAACTTGGCAGATACTTATATCAAGACAAAGAAAATGTTCGCCCAGGTGAACATTATATCGCATGATAATGTTACACTCATATGAAGGCACCCTTTCAACCCTGAAGACTAACTTTGATGAAACGCCCCCCCCCCCCGAAAAAGAAAAAGGAATTCTAGGCAAACGGAACGAGTATAATACCTTATGAATAAGCTATTATGCAAACTGCCTGCCACTGCGTGAATACTGGTCACTGACATATAATAACACATACATAATATGTGACCAATGAATATCATTTCTAGTAGGAACACACACAAATTTATCAATAATAGAATAATTGTTTGACAGTCCTCTTTGGACAAATTCTGCTTTTGAGAAATAAACTCGTCCACATTCAACAAATGGAATGGAAATCTCTACGGCCTCGAAGTTGTAAATGAGATTGCTCGGGTTGTTTCAGCTTTTCTTTTTCTCTTGTTATGATATGGCTCAATATCGAGACCTACATCTGAGATGAGTTGAATACGCGATGTGAATTCAAATTGTTCTTGAACAAATCGATACTCAATAAAGAGGTCAGTCTTTACCGATGACTTCACGCGATCGTAGAGTTCGGAGAAAAAGGATAAGCGAGCGACGATAATAATCGCGACCTATATTTATGAATTAAAAAATGACAGGGTGTGAATGATCTTCTTTATATCAGGCTATTCCAAAAAAGAGTGGGGTTACAATAATTAGATTAATTATGTATTACAATAAAATAAATTAAGAGAAGTAAAATACAAATGAAAAATATTTGTGTGTGTATTGTGTGAGTGTGTGCGCGCGCTCATAGATCCATCTTTCTCCTTTACCTTACAAGCATAGAAACATCCGGAGAAAATAATGTGTCTCCCGTTTGCATTACTCTGTTTGTAAAGGTAAATGAAAATGTAGAAATAACATCCACATAACAACCTTATTCGTTAAATCGCTTTGGTCAGACGTACTGTCTCTGACTCAGCCGACCATAATTTATCGACATCGTTAGCGTTGAGTCATTTCTTTTCCCGCCTTTTCTCTAAATGATATTCCCCTTCATCATTGCTTCTATTAGGATATGATAATGAAAGACAGGCATATCAGATGGAAACGAAACTTCTCATTTTGTTGATTCTTTTCATGATGGAAGATGCATGTTTGTACAATCGTGTCCTCAAGTAGATACTGCTCCAGGGTATTTTCTCTCGCCAATCTTCCTCTACTTCTTCTTCTTCTTTTCTATCATCAAGAGTGGTAGCACGGTGTTTTATTTTAAAAAGTAATCTTAATTCCCACCTATTTGATATGAAAGGGATAAACCCCATATCTTGAAAAGTCACTGACTCCATGTCGCAGGCGGCAATAATTCATCCGGCTATTTTCTACACTTGCATTCAGTGCTTTATGGGATTTGTTCTTCATCATATGAATAGCTAATCCTTTCCCAACCCCTGCGGGCGTTTTGGGCTCTTTAGGGTCACCATAGAAAGACTGGATTCCCATCATCCCTCACAACATGCATCATGACTTAGGCTCATCCCCCAGCCGATTGTTCCTACTTTATGACCAGTATGCCATCAATCAGCCCCTTGTATTAAGTGAGTAACTGATAACATTTCTTTGTAATGGGTCATTATCGGTGTAATGACCTCAGTGCATGCAAGGCGGCTCTATTACCATTGTTGGAATAACTTCAGGCCTTCAGAGTTCGGTTCTGGCCTAGTTTTCCTTTCTAGCACTGCCCCAGGCATATCCCTATTTTCGTCTTAGGCCGCACTCATATACGTTCGCAATTTGAGACGTGTTTGAAATTCGGGCGACAAGTCTGACAACCAAACATTGAAAACATTGTAAAATTGTGTCTATATACATGTATAATTTATACATCTACATAATAATAGGCCTATAATACAATATATTAATAATATACACGCACGTGTGGGGGCGTGTTTATTGTGTGTGTAAATAGCGGAATCGACATCTCATGGATCGACTGTGTTGGCGTTTCGTGCAGAATTTATAAATATATCAAGCAGCTTATCTATTCGATTCGACTAGTTCGTTTGAAAAAAGGCAAAATTTCACCAGGAATTTTAGCCGAAAGGAAGCCTGACAATTACAGTTATTAATCCGGAACTAACGGTGGCAAATATAATAATAGCATTATTTAATACTATTAACATATAGTTACATACCACAATGTGCTGGTGAACCTATACAAAACTTCTTTCGGAAGGTGAAATACTTTTTAGTTTTGAACGAAATGTTGATGGACGAAACTGGACCATTTGGACCAATTTGAACCAAATGAAAAACTACCACATTAAGAAAGCCTATAAGATACTAGTAGGCTAAATTAGTTTTATTTCGATTTTTTTTTTTTAGGTGTTACGATAATATGTCAATAGAAAAATTATTCAAAACTACTTTGTGATGACAGTGTAGAAGTTGAAATTTTTTCTAAGGTGACACCACATAAGGACGGGATATCGAGAGTAAAGAAGAACATCTGCATATAATTTTACCCTTGAGGCAAAGATAAACGTTTACTTTTACCAAGCTCCCAGATGAGCATTATAAGGAAGCAAATATGGGCTATTCACCTCCAACATCCGAATATTACTTAGTCAAGTTAGGTGACTCAAAGATGGAAGCTATATAACTGAAACCATGTCGATAAGCGATAACTGTTATTCAAGGTCAGAAGTAGGTTGCTGAAAGGCTGATACAATGTTCACTTTGAATTATAGCTTTTACTCAAATCATCTCAAGACACTTTATCGTTGATATGGATTTATTCTAAACGAGAACTTGAAATACTGCCTTCCATTATTGTGAACTCTGCTCATACACCTTTTTGTTGCTTGGCATAACATTGCGAACGAAATTGTTGTCTATCATGTTTTCACGCCAAAAGAAATGTAGAAAAGGGTGACTTTTTCAAAATTGTGTAAGTAAAGAATACATATTCATGAAAAGATGCCCATAGGCGCATCTTGGCACGTAATCCATTAACCGACTTGAGGTAAGCCTAGGTGGCAAGCCACATACCGGATGACAAGGCTTCGATGCCGTCATCTCGCCCGCAACTCGCCCGTGGCATCGCCCCGTGTTTATCACTCAGTTCTAAGGTCATAGCAGCTAGGACAGTCTTGGCACCGATTGGCAACAACTCGTCCCCAATTGGATTCCTTTTCCCTCGTCGATCCCCTTCTCTTTTGGCTTTGTTTTTGTGTTTTAGGAGGGAACTACTGGCGTCAACTCAAACTGAAAGGGGATTTATCTAGTGGCATATCCAGAAATTGATAAATGAGGGGGCGTAATCATGTCCATGGGGGACATTGTCTACGTAGGCAACCCTTGCCCTTGGTGCTTTAAATTTGTATAATTTTAATCTGCCTTCAAAAAGGGGCAAACGATATTTTCAATCTATGCTGGATACGCCATTGCTTATCAGTGTATATATTAGTTCCAATGGTCCGACACAATAAGAAAAATTGGACGAAAAGTCTGGTTTGTTTTGTATACCGTAACGAGATTTGAGTACTAAAGTATCCCCTATAATTATGTATTGCGGTCGCATACATTATTGTGCTTAACTTCTAGAGTGAATAGTCATCAGAGCCCATATTCATAAACACCCAACTAAGCAGTTGTCTAGGCTGTAGTACATGTGCATATTAGTTGTCAAATATTCTTATATAGGTTTATGAATATGAGCCCCGAGGACGATACGCGATAGTGTGACTTTGTGTTGAAAAGATAGACGGGTATATGGCATATCTACCATACAACCCCCCCCCCCCCCCCCATCAGCCCTCTTTCACTGAAGGCCTAGGAAAGATATCAATACTACATGAAATGGCTCTATAACACAGCACGAGGGGCTCCTCAGATACGCCCCCGTCGGATGGTTCCGCCCCTGTCTATCTCCTGGATACGCCACTGCCGATAAGCAGCGGAAGATGAAAAAAAAAAACTGTTTCTTCCCATAATTGTGTATTTAGTGTTAGCTCTTTTTCGTGCAGCAATACGTATCGTTCCACACAAAATCAATGCGAGTAACCCGTTGGGTCAATAACATTGAACACGCAATTATAAGTAGAGATCATTCTAACATTATGAGGGATGAATTTCGATAAACCTTTTTTTCAACTTGGGTTCACTATGTTCATGAAACAGAAACAAGGCGTGTGTTTACAAATTATCCTCCAGCCTCCTTACATGTGTCAGGTCAATGGAATATTATATCCGAATATTATTCCTACTTGATTTCTTACCCCGTTAGTCGTGAGGGAAAGTGAATGAGTGGGATATACAGGGGATATAATGTTTGTATTACCCCGCACCTAGTCCCGAAACCGAATAAATCCACTGTGTACTCAAAACGCTTTTATCTTATCATTTCGCGAATTTTACTTATGATTTTTTTGTTGTCCTTCTCTGTTCTTCTTCCTCCCTTTTCGTCTCATACTCTGTATCGCTTGCGGCTAGATATGGAAGAAGCGGAGACAAGCCAGTATTTCAACTTTCCGGCTGCATGGTATTTAGGAGTCTATTCTCTGCTTCTTGGGGGATGGAGAAGAAAAAGGAAAAATTGATGTAGCCGAGTTTGTCCCGGGGTTGTAATGGAAAAAGACATGTGTGCGCCTGATAACCTAATCCCAATTTATACCTATATACATCGTACCTCTTTTGGGATAAAGGCAGATGCCATTATGATATAGAAACGGTGCAAATGATAGAGAAAGTCAGAAAGAGAGGGGAAGAGAGAGAGAGAGAGAGAGAGAGAAAATTACAGATATTATACAAGAGAATATTAATAAGCGATCCAGAAAAAAACAGAAAGAGAAATCATTAAAAAAATTATATGCATAATTATTTCACTACTACATACTCATTTCATGAAAGACATGATTAAGATAATTATGTTTTAAATGTCTTGGAAATATAATTATCATTGTGAAAACAACTGAATGTACACTCCTTTAACAAAATAAAATTTGTAGAAAAAATAATTGAAGTGTAATAAAACATGCTGGTCCATGTTAGATAATTAAAAAGAAAGTTGGGTATGGTGGTTAAGTTTTTCATTTTTCCTGCTTCATTTTAATGGCATGTGGCCACGAAATGGCTATTTAAAAGTGCAACGTTACCTGAACTTTCCAAAGAATGACCTGTATCACCTATTATTTAGACTATTCGAGTCCCCCGTCACCCCCTCCTCAGTAAACACGGTTTAAAGGGGGTGGGGCTACAGAGGGGGGGGGGGGCTACAAATGGGGTTACAGTTACAAAACATTGTAAGCAAAATGGCGATAAGTAGTAAAGGGTAATGGTCGTTATTACAGGACCCGTCGCCAATGACGAATAAATAGGAAAATGTTATTAATCTCCCTCATTGTACTAAACGTAGCACGTGTGATCATTCAATGAAAAAGGTTGCTTCGCTATGTTTCACTGAAATTCACTCGCTTCAATTGTTAGCAATTATGACAGTGAGCACGTTCTGCTTGTAATGAAAAAAAAATGATGTCCAAAAAGCGCGCACGCATTAGGGCGCACCGTCGAGGCGCACGCCGTCGCGTGAGTCCATATTTGCTACAGTAACGAAGTCGACTCACGCTCGACGTGCTCGCACCTTCACTTTTGCATTTTGAAGACAAGATACTCTATAATAGAGAAATATAGAAAGTAATTGCCGTTCTCTCAAAATTGTTTTTGTTAGGCATTTCATTCGATGGTTGGGTGATTTCAAACGTCGACTTTTTCGAGCTCGATTTAACCTATTCCACTTAATTTGAATGAAATGATTCAATAAAAATTAAAGAATTAAATAAAGCTTTATTTTGACATAATTATCTTCGGCATGTTTGAAAGGCAAAGAATACGACAATGGTTTGGTTAATATGATGCTATCAAAGCTTACCTTCTGATCACCAATTTCCATAGCATAGGGTGATGAAAAGTCAGTTGAAGTTTTTCCATTCGACATCTATATAAGTAAATAAATATCAAAGCGATAATTGAGAATAAATATTTAAAAAAAATACTTCAGAAAAAGTATAGGCAACAGGGTTGATATCAAATGAAATGAAGTAAGTAATGATCTACTTGATGTAAACTCGTCACCTTGACTGGCACATCAACAAGTAGATAAAGTTGCGTAAGATATTATTATACACATCATCTCAGTGTATCACCGAGGGCTGTGGCGTAGCTACTTGGTGATAGGGCACCCCTACACTAACTCAAATGGCAAAAAGTAAGAAAGATTTAGAGAGAAAGAGAGAGAGAGAGAGAGAGAGGGGGGGGGGAGGGGATAAATGATATGGGAAGATCCGTGTTCTTAATATCCTGCATCACTGCCCCCTCCCCCGCCCCCCTCCCCCCACCACCATCAACTACACTTTTTATTACTTAGTTTGAATTATAAACTGAATGTGATTTGATTTTGTTAATTATATTTTAATTTGAATTACGAACTGAATGTGATCGGGATTTGAAATGGATTTGATCTGAATTACGAATTGAATTGGTTTAAATTTTTAATTGTATTTAATCTGAATTGCGAATGAATTTAATCCGAACTTGAACTGAATTTAACTACTTAATTTATGAATCGAATTTTAGTCTGCATGTTGAACTATCGCATTTGTTGTTACCTATGTCCAAGTTAAATGTTCTACTCTGTACCCATATGTATCTTATTGATGTTTATAATGTGTAACTTTGTACCGACATGCAAATGAAACAAATTTCCAATCATTGGACAATAAATTTGAATATGAATATGATATGAATGAGCCTGAATAGTCACAAATAACAATAGTCACGTCTAAATCGGAGAGGGCATCCAAAGTGCCCGCCTTTTTGTCGAAAAATAGTATCATTTGCATAACCTATTGTGTATATTCAACATAAGCGAAAGTTTTAATCTTATACAAAATAACGATAGAGAGCTGGATCTCCAAGATGCAACAAATATAATGTATCAGACATTGATAAGGAGAATAGAAGGGCAAAGAACCGGCGAAGTAAATTTGATTTTAAAAACTTTAAAAACTAACAACATAGGACTGTGAACATTCATAATCGACAAGCTCAAAATGTTATATGCCCAATCATTGTGGATCTCATGAATAACATTAGAGTATGATGATAATCATAATGTACACAGGAAATAAGAGGCGAACACATCATCACAATCATTTCCCCTATTTTCTTCTCCAAAATGTCTTTCAGATGAATGCTCCTAGACTGACAGCTGAAACCCTTAGCCTAGGGGTGTGGCCTATAGGGAACAAGGACGGGGGTAGAGAGAGTGAGACAGATAGGGAGAGAAGAAGAAGAGTGAGAGTGAAAGCGAGAGAGAGGGAGAGGGGGAGGGAGAGAAAGAAAGAGTGAGCAAAAGAGAAAGAGATAGTGAGACTGTGAGAGTGAGAGAGGGTGAAAGTGAAAGAGAAAGAGAGAGGGGGAGGGAGAGAGAAAGAAAGAGAAAGAAAGAATGAGAGAAGATAAAGAGAGACAGAGAGTGCGAGAGAGAGAGACAGTGAGGGGAGATGTGAAAGACAGAAAGAAGGGGAGAAGAAAATAAACAGACCGATAAATGGGTGGGGTTATTCGAAACTCATGGGGGCGTCGGGCCGGGGCGATGAAACTACGCGTTCTATGATTTAGAATAAAGCCATGTGCTATCATCTTTTATCTGGAATAATACAATTTATCTAGCGAAATATGATCGAGAATCACGCATGGTTTAACAAGGGACAATCTCACACTGGATAAACACCAGAAATAAACGGTCCAATCTTATCCTACCCGGGAATTTGTACAGCGTCTATAATTGGTTGCATAATAATATTATAGATGCCGATGAGACAAAAAATACGTTATAAAAATATTCAGTGATTTCAGTCCATATAGCAGTATTATTAAATTATTAATTAAACCATAGTGTGGCTATTTGATTTGTGAATACTAACTTTCAGTGTGACAAGGAACATAGGTCTAGGTCATTGCTCAATGCAAAAAAAAGTTCTAAAAATGATTTTTTTTTTTTTTTTTTTTTTTTTTTTTTTTTTTTTTTTTTTTTTTTTTTTTTCTTTCTTTTTTTTTTCTTTTTTTTTTTTTTTTTTTTTTTTCTTCAAGTGATTATGTCAGAGAAAGGACAGAAATATTCTTAAATCATTCTGTTAATACACAAAATAAGCTTTTTAAAAACCCTCCTTTTCCTGCATATAATATACATTTCGTTGAAGGAAACAGTCTCTGGTATATAATTGGATATTTATTGCATATTTGAACCAATAATATCAATATTCTTTAGGCACTTTTAGTGTAGGCAAACATTTTGTTTTAAACGTGTTCCTCAAGTGAAAAAAAAACTATCGTTATATGTTACTTTGCAGTTTGATTTCTATGCATAATATGCACTTTGTAGCTCTGTCACGTCATAGAAAACTTCAAACTCTTATTTTGAAATAACGGTGACGGATGGGTAATTAATATCTGAAATCGATGCTTTAGTAAATGGTGATGAAAATCATGAAACCTGTCTTAAGTTTTCAACAACAAGTCTTTTTTTTCATCCAGTATTTACCAGTTCTCCAATAACCTTAGAATCAACGGAAGCAAGTACTAAGGAACACGACAGATTACAACTATAAGATTTCCTGCGAAACTTCAGCAGTGTCGTTAATGAATTGGAACACATTTCCTCACATGTTTTGGTTACATGTTGGTTTCAAGCAATGAAACAAGGTAGAAAACATATTACACATTGGACTACTGGTATGTGATAAACAACTTTCCTTTTCAAGGATATTCAATCTTTTGTATTCAGCGTAGCAGCAGTTCGAATAATCTAGAACATAAGCCGAACAAAGGCAGAAATGACGCGTTTAAATCGCACATTTTTTTTCTCTGGATGTATTAATTTTTTTCGCGCTGAAACAGCTTCAGTTTATGATCTTGCTAAAGAAGAAGAAGAGAAATAAAGGGAGGGTTTAAAGCTCCGTCTGTCATTCTTCCCTACTTCATAATCCCCTCAAATAATACCAACGGGCCTAAATAGCGCCAAAACTCCCTCCATAGAAAACATAGACGCTTTGAAGCCCATGTCCCCGAGCCTATTCCGATGTTTTTGAAAATTTTATGTTTTCTTTGCCCACGGCCAGATAACACGCGATTCATTTGGATTTATTTATTCAGGCGTCTGAAAATTAGAAAGTTACAAAGTTTCCACTGACATGCTCTAACGATGATGAAATATATTGGTAAGAAATGTAATACGTTGAGTGTTGTACGAGGGGCGCTTTGTACCAAAGCGTGCATTAACTTTGGCGGAGTAATGAGCAAAGGAATGAGGGACTGAGCATTAGCGCATAATAATCCCGTATCATATATCGCCTTTTTGTTGTTGATGTTACACAAATCTGTTTCGGTGTCGAGATGTGGAAGAAACATTATCTTTCCGAGTCATTGCAGTCCGGTATATGGACGTTGAGATTTGACGACTTTCAAAGTGACGAAAACGATATGAACAGTAACACTTTGAGAGAGAGAACATCTCGTGCAGCTTTTTGGACTCTTCTATATAGCATGCGATAGCAGAAATCAAATGTTTAAGGGCTATGAATAGTCCAAATCTTAATTGAAAGATACGTCTTTTTGTTAAAGAATTTATCTTATGTCAATACATGTATTCTATTTCAGACATCAACGATGCACAACAGTGTTATGTATAACAGTAGCAAGATGGTCTGTTTATCATTATGTAGATCATGCGAAGAAGTTCTACGAAATAAAGGGAATCAATTTTAAATTTGAAAATAATAAGCAGATCATTTTATCTATTTTCAAGTAGATTTATCCAATCTTGATGACAAAGATATTTGTATTCTTACATATCAGTTACCGTGAAGACCTTTACCTGGATCTATACAGACTGTATTATGTTCTGATAAGAAGTTCAAGACCTTTTACTGAGAGGCCTAAAGCGGACAGATTATCAAGATCGGGGTACGACAGCAGTATCTTGTGATACAATACTTGAAAAGACGAGCAAGATCCATTTCAAGTGTGTTGTCCAAAAAATAAAAAGTATATTACGAGATCCGACTATTAATATTAGTAATGACAATTGTTTCTTTTCGAAGTCACCATGATTTGCTATGTGGCCAAACAGGGACGATCGCTTTCAGAGAAATGTAATGTTATTAATTAACTTGGCCATTAGATAACATTTCAACATGTCCTGAAGTTGAAAAGAAAGAGATCGAAACTGCCGCCATCTCACTTGCAAAGCAAACATTTGGAATTGTGATAAAGATATCGCTCCGAAGCAGATCTGTTTTCATATTATAAACCGCTCTTTAATCCTAGCGTGAATCATTCTTTCCACCGAATGGTAAAATTTATTTTCAATTCAATTTCAATATATTTCTAAATTATTAAAAATCATAAACAAATACAAAGTATACACCATGTACAACAACAAAAATAATGACAAAGAAAAGGAAGCCAACAAAAAAGCAAGCTTGTAATGAGTGGCAGCGCCCTTGGAAAGAGTTAAAAGGTCCTTGAAATCAGCTTTGCTTTATTGACTTAAATACACATTAATTATCAAATTTTATTTGTGAATTAAAGGTAACTTTGTTTGTAACTTCACATCCCTTCATCCTAAAGTTAAAAGAAAGGAAAGTCAATTCAGTTGTGAAATTGTGTTTTTTTTTTATACATATTGAATGTCAAAAAAATAGAATGACAATTATGTCAATTTCTGGTTCATTTGAAACTCCAGCTTTGTGATCATCTTATCAAAGACTATAGGCCAATTCAAGAGACTTTGGAAGACGCATTTTATTTGTTAGGGAACACACACAGATCGTTTCTGTTGTCTCAACTGGTCTTCTTGAAGAGGATTGTTATTATCACTACTTTTAAAGGGCTTTATAAGTGCAAGGAAAATGCACTTTACAAAAACAATGAACGTACACATAATGTTGTGGAATGGTTTGTAAGTACCAATATACCAGAATGATATATCTGTAGTGTTTTAAATGGTAGGCCTGAAGGAATTTTGAATAGGATTTCCCTTAAGAGTTCCGTACCGTCTCAATTGTCATTTCGTAATGCTAAAAAATGGTTGTGTTGTTCAATTAATTATCATTGAAATACACGCGATTGTACAAGCAACAATCATTTATAATGCCTCTATATACCGGACAGGCCTATATTCATTCGTTGATCGAACGAATAAAAGGCTAATACTTGTATTTGCTCGCGTTCAAGAGTCCTCCAGTATTTGAAAATAAAACCAATTTAAAGTCAATTGATATGATGTAGTCAAGAAATCAATTTGCAAGCGTAATGGGAGAAGCGTTGTTAAGGTGGTTGCTAAGGCCTCGGTAAAGGAGCACACACGTGTCATATTTGGATTGGTCAATCCTTGACGGTAAATCACTGCACAAAACTCAGGGTCATTTCAGAAGGCAGTTCTCAGATAGTCGTCGTCCTATTGAAACTCGTTCTTGGTCAGATTTGAATAAATGCAGTGTTACTCTGTGTATTCGTTTTTGTTTTAACTATTTAAAAAAACAAACTTGTCGACCAGCCTCACATTCAAAGCTTGATTGTAATATCATCATGTTAGACGCATAACATATTGCAGAAGCAAAACACTTAGACCAAATTATTTTGCCTATTATTATGATGACTTTCTTTTATTTTGATAACAAATCACAAAATCAACGTACTTTACAAATAAGCACACACAAGTACTTATCACAGTATCACTACAAATAACTATGGAAAAGAGGCATGTGAGGCAGAATTTGAAATGGCAATAATAAGGAGAAAACGTCGGTGCCACATAAATAGTGCTTAAGTATAAACCTTCCTGAACAAATCGTAACCGCAATTGGTTTGATTTTGATTGGTTAAGATTAAAAGAACAAATATTATTACTGGAATAAAATATAGGCACCACACACACACACCGATTCTGAATGGCAATTTAGCTCCCCCCCCCCCCCCCCATAAAAAAAAAATTATAAACGCCCTGAAGCCTTGATTGGCCAATGATACAGAAACGTTGTTTCTCATCGGCTATCAATTATCAAATCACAATGTCGTTTCTGATCAGATATCGTTGTGCTGATTGGCCAATAAACCAAAGTCCTCATTCTAAAACATCCTTTTTATTGACCAATGGAAAAGCGGCATAAATCTCTCACAGGATCATAATAATAATAATAATAATAATAATAATAATAGTAATCCTTTAAGTCCACTCCAAATTTTATTTAACCGAAACGGAAATTCTGTTTGCCCAATTGGCAGCCACTGAGCAGCGCCAGATCGACGTTGCTCATTGCTCATTGATCCTGATTGGTAAATAGATAATAATATATCATTGGCTTATGTAGCTGGCGTCTTGAATTACCTGATCTCAATCGGCTTATTTTCGAGGAATAGTGATTAGCAAAAAACGTAAAATTAGTTGCAAAATACATGTACTCATGACCCCTGTATACAATACCTGTATATTATTACCTTTGAATCTGTAAATTCTGTAGTAGGTCGAAGTGGGCTGTGTCCCCGCGAGTCACACACTGAGGTCATTGGTGAATCTATAACAACAACAACAAATATGAATATGATGATTACCTGATAAACATGTTAAAGTGACTCGGTAACATTGCCTCAGATTCTGAAACGAAATCCTGGATTTAGCTCAAGCTGCCATCATAATTATAAACCTTAAGGTCATTCAGGAATCCCATGAATTTTACAGGCCGATCGCCTGTCTGATTATCAAGATATTTATGATTGGAAATCGAAATCAAATTTTGCGTTTTCCTAACGGTTTTTATAACATTTTTTATTCATTTCCATTTCCAATAAAAACAATACAAAGGTATATACAATAATAATCATTTGCAATATATAAGAAAATTAAAATAGGGAACTAAAAAATAAAACACTACAGTCTATTGGGGAAAATGAGTATGGTACAACCGGTCACTTAAATATTTTTACTTATTTGAGGCACTTCATGATCATTTTGAAGCGCAACTTTTTTAGGGCTTCAATACCATATCACAGACACTGATAACACGAAGGGCCGTCCATCTCAGATTTATCATTGTTAAACGATATCTAATTGGCTTTAAGTTCTGATTGGTCAAAGTATCAAATACATGATCGATTGCGAATGGTTTGATACAGCAGATCGAGCCTTTGATTTCTTTTCACCAAAAGGCATCACTTTGAACAACCAACGATCTTTAGGGAAATTTGGCAGTCACGTCAAAGATAAATGTTTTGATAATCAAGTAAATTTGTGTTCCAAATATTTGAACATTTAAACCAAGAATAGAAACTTGCTCAAAGAAATAAGCTTGGATATTACAGTTTTCGAACAAAATGATATGATGGGAATTGTTGTATATACCATCTCATTCAGTTACTATTCAGATGGTGTTCATTAATGGTGACCTTTGAATTATATCACAGTCTATACCTAACCATGCTTGGGACATGATAATACGTTCCTTTATTTCCATTATGGAATTCGTTTTTCTTATAAAATGCAGTCAAAATAAGTTTGTTCATCGTTAATTCTCTCCTTCTTCTTCATAATTATTCAAAAATATATCAAGCGGAATTGCTTAAACTAGAATTTTATTGAGATCAGATGTTCATAATGTAGTATGTTTCATTATTAAAAAACAAAACCAAGTAAAATGCACTTAAAACCTCTTTACATTAATTCAAAACGGCTTTATACGAGGAAATAACAACCTCATTGCTACCGGCAGTGTCGGCAAAAATAATATTGCCCCGGGCTAAAGTCATTATTTTTTGCCAATAACATGTCATCAGCAGCCCCCGATGCTAGAAAAACACAGAATAGTCTTCTTTTATATACTTCATAAAAAATGGTCAAAACGATATCATAATTCATATCGTTTATCTTTTCTTTTCTATAAAACGTATATTGCATCATAATAAGGAATTAATTGAAAAATGGAACAAAAACAAAGTTGATGGATACACATCACAAAGGTGCCGATCTCTTTCGAACATAATTACGCATGATTTAGAGCATGCATTCTTGTATGGCAAGTAAAGTAAATAGATCAGTAAAGTCGGCCATATTGAAAAGCGTATAACCGTGTAACTCTCATTATGCACACATAATGACATCGTTGCCGCCCCTGTTTTCTTTGAAGATACCAATCTATCGGAAAAACCGACAGAAAAGGGAGTGAGGGGATAGAGAAAGGGGGAGAGAGAGGGAGAGAGGGGGAGAGACAAGGAGGGAGGGGGAGATTAGTTTTAAGTTTATTCTACTCGAGCTGTATCCAGTCCTTCTTTGGAATGAGTTCGCATAAATGCTTCCTATACAATTTCCTCTAAATCTTGCCTCTAGGCTCTATGATAGATTGCATAAACTCATTTTTCATGATGCATAGACGCCTACATGTGTTGCCGTTTTGCGGATGCTTAATGAAGTACGGATGCTAATTCCGCGGGGCTACATCGTGCTAGTAGGTGAATATGACTTCATACGTTGATTTTAGAACAAGAGTAATATCAACTTTACTTTACAAATGAAGTGTAGAAGTTGCCGAGTGGCGGATGCACCAAGATTAGGGGCGGATAGACCCACCAAGAGCAACGATAGAAAATGCATTTCATCTTAATCTATTCTTTACTAAAATGATTCAGAGAGCCGAAAGTTATATCAGATTAGGCATCGTTTTTGGTCTGAAATTCTTGTGATCATAATTTACATAACAAGTGATGATGTTGGTGGTGATGATGATGACGATGTGGGGTTAGTTGCACAAAATAAACTCTCAATATCTTGGAGAACAAAAATTGTTGGAAAATAAAATCCTCTCGAGGGCTATTGAAAAAAAGATCCCATCCCCGTTTATAGATCACGGTGACTTCTTATAATTTAAACTCTAAATCATCCTCTCACATCTAATGACCAGGGGGGGGGGGGTGTTTCACAAAGATCCTAATTTGAACTTGTCTCCAAGTTGGACTTAACAATTATGGAAAGCCGTTAACATCTTTGAAAATATTTTGTAAAAGTTATTTTAAAAGGCTTAAAATGTTGATTCAAATCATTCATATTTTCTATTATCATGGGAGATTTCATGTTTTTGATGTGGAATTTATGAAAAGTCTAAAATACTTGAATTTTTGCTTTTGAATATATTTAATTTTAAGGCTACAAATGGCTCTCCGTAATTTTTAAGTCCAACTTAGAGCTAAGTTCGACTTAGAATCTTTGTGAAACACCCTCTAGATCAATTTAAAAGAGGCACCCATTCAGTAATTATGGATCACAGGTTTTATGCTATCTCATAACCAACATTTGGCTATGAATCAAACATAACCAGGCTTTTCTTAAACCTCATTCCATTTTTTTAAACTCCAGTTTCCTCATTTCTTTCGTAATGAAAACAAAAAGGGCCCGACTTACACATGTTCCATTCACTTTAACGACAAAAGTTTTTTTTCCTGAGTATTTCCCGTTTTTATTTTGTGCTACATGTTGCAAGTGACATTATTATTGCCACCAATGACCATATTTTAGTAGTTGTTGGTCTAAAACGATCGCGTAGGCCTTCTTAATATTTTTTTGTTTTATCATCGAACTTCTTGGATATGTTTCCTGCTTGCCAAAAAACAGCGTATTATAAACTAAAAAATAAATATTCAATAGCATGTTATAAACTATGAACAGTTGATCAGCCAATAACAATAATGTATGAAAGAAAGAAAATTAGAAATCAAACTATATGTCCTCTTATCTCGCCAAAACGCTCATTAAAATAATCATGAATATTAGGATTTCAAAAGCAAATTACTGATATCAAAGAGTATACAGCAAATCGGTAGTAGTTTAGCTGTTTTGCCTAGTAGCTAGTGCTACATTAGTACATTAACGTAGATTTTCACGACCTATTGTATTTATTGCGAAGCAGGCGGTAAGAGACTGTACAATAGTACGATTATACGAGTCAATATTCAATCAAAGCTTTTCCGTTTACGATTGTTCCTCGTCGACCTCTGTGTATTGTAGTCAAGGCGATGTTTGACCCTGCTCGCTTTATTATAATTATACAATTGAATTATTTTGAAAGGTACATTTTATTGCTATTACTTCTGCATCACATCTGTAGTATCAAGATGTTACATTGTTTGGGACGAAATTATTGCTCAAATTAAACCATTTTTACGAGTATAACCTAGGCACTGTGAAATATTGTCTGTCCTGTCATTTCATGAATAATAATTTGATCTATAAATACATAATAAAAAAAAGTTACGACGTTTATTTCTATATAAACGCATTTTGGATGATATAATCAAAATATCCTCGTCAAACCCATCCTTTCTGAGATATTAAAGGTATTTATTTTTCCTTCCTGCATACCAAGATTTAATGATTTCGGAAGGCCCGACACAATTATAAATAAATATTTATTGATTAGTAAAGTTGTAATGTTATACGATTGAAGGAAGGAATTCGGTATGCAAAGTATGCTGACATTTGGCGGCGTCTTATTTGCATAAACTAGTAAATTAAGATTCAATGTCTCAAATTAATGCACGTTTGAAGTTGTCTGTAACAGTCTGTTATTCTCTGCATTAATTATGATACTCCCCGGTCATATTCGATATCTCAGTGTAAGACTATATGAAACATGAAAGATATTAGATAGTTGTTGACGAAGTTCGTACAAATTTGGGTCAAAAATTTCAGACGTACTTTCATGTGTTCGTCGGACTGATCGACAACAGTCATCTTGAATGGATGTTTTTAAAACAAATCGCAAACTGACAAAAGCTATACTCAAAATAAAATCTTATAGACATTATCACTCATTATAACAACATAAATATGGGAGCGAACACACATGACGTGAAATTTTGACCGTCTGATAAACGTTTAGAGCCACGAGGTGTAGGTGCCTAGTGGTCAGTTTCGTAAGACCAATTATGAAATCTAGATGCGCCATTTATGCATTCGTCATCTCCGCAAGACGAGAATATTTGGACAAGATATTCAAATGATTGATTTTCGTCAAAACCTTTTGCAATGAATAAACTAGTTTTTATGAAAAGGAAAAACAAATCTTGGAGGACTTGAGAGTGCTAAGGTATTGCAATGTCAAGACAAGGTTTAGCGACGAAGCCATTGCTTGCTTGAACGAACGACTATAAACCCCTACGAGAAGGTAATGCTAGCTTATCGGTTGCTCCGTGTACGAGCAAGCGTCAAACAAAATCTCCTTTCCACAAGTATCTTCTCTTCCCTCCCTTTGCACCGAATGGACGCACCGAGTCACATGCCTTTTCACCATCTCTCTATTATACTCACACAGTGTTCGCAAAGTCACAAGTAAAAGATACAAACAACTCCAAACTTACCGGGTTTTTGGTCGTTTTTGGAGGAGAATCACAACGTCGCACGTCTCTCTCGCAAGTAAAACGCAGCGATTTTGGTGCAAAATATGTATGAGGCTCATGAACCGCGCCGAATGATGGTGAGGAGTGGAGAATTCAGGGGCCGTTGGCGATCAGAAAGTGCTGGCGGGCATCACGCACTGCGCGGGTCTCGCGAGAACCGGCATAATTACAAATCTTGCCTCCGGCCACGCCGTGGCATCCACTGTTCTCTTTCTTAGGGCAAACAACAATACACGGGCCTACCGTCCATGCTTATATTAAAAGTGTATAGGCTTACAGAGTCGGGGTTACAGGGGATTTGTGTCCCCAGGTTCTTTCTTCTCCCCTTTTTATCTTTCCCTCTCTTGTACAATACCCAGAGTGGGAAAAAAAGTTTTTTTTTGGCGAGTCGATTCAGCTAAGTGGGCGATCCGTGTTTGTAACAGGTATGAGGCAAGTGAGTTGGTTTTGAGCAACAATAGCACCGCTCCCAACAGTTGCAGTTTGTTAACTTTATGCCGTAAGTCAACAAATGGTACATATCTTTGACTACCGTGATGTCAGAAGTAGCAACTTGGAACTCAAACTCGTCGATGCCGTCTACCTATCTGAACGTATCAAAATCTGTGATGTCATGTAATTGTCATGATTTAAAAAAAAAAAGAAAGATATGGGCTGTGTCCGGATTGTCCTATCCTGAACTCCCATGGAATACGCCGCGTTTTACTGTGTATTCGTCAGGCCATCCTGATTGCTGCCCGCCGCCGGCCAAATTCGGGTCAGTCGACGAAGAAAAAATACCCGCGACAGGAAAAAGAAGTAAGGGTTGAATTTTTCAGAACGGATTAATCCTTGAGGCAAAACAAGAATGAAAAAGCATGCCGAACAAACCCGAGATACCTAAACTTTAGAAAAGACTTCTGCTGCAGCCCTGCACGCCTTAGGGTGGCCACATCACAGCTGTCTTTCTATACTCCTCACATTTTCCTTTTCTTCCTCATTTCTCACTTCTCTTCTCATCTCTCTTACCCTCACATATCCTCTCTTCTCCACCCCCTTGTTACCACCTTGTTTCCCTTTCTGCCTGATTCTTCTGTCGATACTACCCCTCTCTCTTTACTTCCCTTTTGATTTTGCCATTAATGTAAGTTTTTCCCCCTAAGTTTGCCATTACGATGTTGTTATTGATAGTCTTGCTAACGCAGCCTCGCGGGAAGCTCGGGGGGTTTGTATCGTGTATCAGCGCTGTGCGGGTTGGCCTGTGACTTTCATACCTAGTAAGAATGTTCGATAATGAACCCGAAGGAGGGCTCCAGCAAATGGGAAAAATAATAAGGTGGAAATGTCTCCCGATGAAAAGCAAAGAGAAAAGGACGCCACCGTTCGGCTATTTGAAAGTGAGGAAAATGCCCCGCACACATGCGACTTGGATGATTTCAAGATTGTTTACAAGTGGCGCCCTTAAACATTTTATCTTTTCCCGACAAAGACAGAAGCAGATTCCACCCCTTTTAACCTGCTTGATCCTGATCTGCATGGACTCTCCATATACTAGGTGTTCTAAAAAACGATGATACCAGGGATATGAGAGTTAAACTCTCATATCCCTGATGATACCATGCATTTCCATTATTTATTATACACCAGTAATGTCATGAGCGAATCTGCACAATCATACCCCTCAGTAAATCACTATAGAGTAATTTCCACGTACCACCATTTGGTATGATTATACAATTTATACAAAAATCCAGTCTGTATTCATTCATTACCTTTGAGTTAAAACATCTTATTGATGAAGGTTTTTATTCTATATACGAGTCATGAAACTAACGCTCATAACTTCGACTTGATTATCGTTTTAAAATGTATCAAACCTCTGTGTTTTTAAGCTCTGTCGCCGAATCTTGGCATCGTTTATCTTCCATGTCTTTAGTTCAACTTAAATACACTGCAGGCCTATACAAGGCGGGTGACGAAATGTGTTTGACAATACCACATGACTATACTTTTCTACAAGGATATACCACTTAAAAGTAAACATGCTTTATTATGCAGCTTCCAACCTTCCACCCTAAGCTTCTTTTATTTTTCAAGGTCAGATCCTTAGAACAGCTTCAGGTTCCAGTCATAATATGTAATTCTGTTTCCACTCTAGTATCTCACTTACTGTTTCTTCTGTCTAATATTGTTCTAAGATCTTTGAAATATTGTCTCGAGCCTTGCCCTTAGTGTTTATCTGTATAATTATAACTAGACACTTTGCTCATTCTGAATAAACAATTTTAAAACACTTTGATCAGTGTATAACCGTTTTTAGAGAAAAAACTAAAGAGATAGAAGATATAATATTTCGACAATTTTGCATTTTGTACTTTTAAATCGTTGCCTGCTACCAACATAATAAGCTTCAATACCTCACCATTGTCGTGAGTATGCAGGAAAGAAAGTAAGCTATTTGGGGATAATTACATCATAGCCTATTTCATTAAGGAATATGCTTTTGTATTAGTGTATCCGGACATTTTTTGTTCTTTTAATATTTGAAACATGGTTGAGTTGGGTATCTTAATGTACTTATAAATAACATTTCTGTTATAATATTCAGAACGGGAGCAAGATCTTTAATGAATTTTAAGATCAATATGTTTCGTCATGATTCATAATCACTTTTTAAAATAATCACTTGCAAATAAGTGCAAAATAAGGAAGTATAACAATGAGCGTATCTTTCATAGAGTACTTTAGCTACATGTTAAGTGATGTTCATTATTCTGTATCAATTTTCACCCATTAATTTCACACAATAACTTCGTTTCCTCCTTTTTAACTCTCGTCTGTTTATATATCTGTCAATTTTATAGTCCTCAACTCGAGCGAGATTGACGTTTGGGTAAGGTGAGACGAGAGAAACCCCTTCTATTGAATCACAGACCAAAGACATATCACGTTATCTCATCTTACACTCGAAGCATCGCGTTGCCATAAATGTATTCCGAAACGATACAGTATCTTGCAGTGAAATGGGGAAAAATATGCGTGAAAATTGAAACATAAATCCTTGTATTTTGTGCCGAGTCGGTGGACGGCGAAAATAGGCGCGGTGGAATCGCGTGCAATTCATGTAGATTTATTCATTTACTTATCGAGGTGCCAATTTAACATCGGTGATCGTTATTTAGTGAGATGGGCACGTGGCGTGGCTAGAGCGATGACTCTCTCTCCCTCTCTCTCTTTCTCTCTCCTCCTCCTCTATATCAAACTCTCACCGTCATCTAGAAGCTTTAGCTAGACTCTCAATTCTCTTTTATGACATCCTTATTGTAGGGTCTTTTTATCCCCTCTGGTGCTGATATTCATCCAGATATTTTAGCATATCAATTTATTCCTCTTTTCACTCGCCCGAAATGATTCCCCATCATCCTCTAATCCGTTCTGTTGAGATTTCCCCTTTTTTTCTCTCACTTATTTCGTCATCTACTCCTATTTTCAATTATTTCTTAAAGTCCTTTTATTCTTCATTTATCTCTCTTTTTACAATTTTATTTAATATTTTCTCTATATATCTGATAAAAAGATCTTCTCTCAGTGCCTTTTCAAAGAACACGCACACGCACACACGTACATGCGCACACGTACACGCGCACACTTACTCTCCCTATGTCTCTCTCTCTCTGTCTCTCTCTGTCTCTCTGAAATCATCGTTTCAATATCTCTATCATCTGATCATACCTCCGATTTCCTGATTCTCCTATTGCCAACGTTTGTTTTTCCCTTAAGATATTCTTTCTTAGTTTAACAATTTTTGTTGGTGATGTCTTTATTGTTTTTATAGATGAATTTCAATTTTGAACCCACTATAATATATAGGCTACTATATTTCTTCAATTTCGATTCCGTCTTATAATCTTCTGTGATCATTCTAATATACTAGCGTGATTTTATATCGCTTTTCATTCCTTCAAACTTTTTTGACTTGTTGTTATTCTTCTCTGTCACCTTTTCTCGTGCACTTTTCGTTCCCTCTTTCGCCCCTCTCTATTTCTCTCTCTCTCTCTTCCCCTTCCTCCCTCTCTATCTCTCTATCTCTTTCTCTTTCTTTCTCATCCTCTTCTTTCTTTCCACCCCCTCTCTCTCTCTCTCTCTCTCTCGCTCGATATTTCAGTCCATCCCCTTTCTACGCTATAATTTGCCCCCTCTCCCCCTGCCTCCCTCCTCCCTCCCTCCCTCGATTTCCCTTTTCCTCACTCGCTATCTCCCTCTCAACTACATCATCTAAAGCCTCTCAAGAATCGCATTTAGATGGAATATTGAGTTTCTGTCTTTGAGGAGGAGTAACCGTCGTTTAGTCAATACGTCATCGTGGCAGTATGGAGAGGGTATTTTATGACAGAGTGGTGTAACACGCGTCCGATCCGTATTTCCTTACATTCTTCAAGTTAGAAGTGGAGAGTAGTTATCGGGAGAAATGAGAACGGTCTGCTCACTCCCAGAAGTGATATTTTGCATAAGAAAGGCACTTACAATGTCCTTTTTCGCTGATGGATTAGGGCAGTGGTGACCTTTTCATGTTTGGATTCACCGTGTATCCAGAATACTTAGGATATAAACAAGGATAATCATTACAGTTAATGTGTTGGTATTCTATCCATATTGTGTGTAGGCCTATAATTATGATAAAATCTATAATGGAACACCCACACAGCAAATCCTAAAAATTGAACACCTGAAAATACGGAAAAGATAGCTTTGTAATAATGGCATTCAAAAGACGAGGAAAGTAGGCCTATATCTATCCACAGTTGGCTTATCTTGCAAATCGTGCGTTCACTTTCAATATATCCAATAGGTAGTGAGAGAAAACATTTTGATGCAAACCTTGCGAGCTAATCAGACCGCGTGTAGCCCGGGGCTCTGCTCGCGGGCTTGCTTATCCGAGGTTGTTTGGCGCCAGGCATAATGTTACACGGTAAACATTGTGAACCCCATCAATACCGCCACGGTCTCTAGCCAAACCGTTTACAAGTGGACGGTATAAAAGACATGTTCGTCCGATGCTTGGCGGGTTAATTTCACGGTGGCAATGATGGATAGTGCGGGTTGGCATACGGCTTGGGGGAAATATGCTTTAAAAGAACTTAATCGCGTGTGCATTTAAAGGGAAATCTAGCCTTGTATAAGGAAGGCGATCTGAGTGAAAGTAAGAAAATTGGATAACCGATTGGTGAAAGAAAGACTAAAATCGGATAAGCGATGAGAAAATGTTAATTCGTTTCTCTTATTTAAAAGCACCTGATAGTGGGTGGGCCCGTTTCATATTGGCAAATTGGTAATGCCTCTGTGCTGTTATGTCGGAAAACTCTCCTATATTTGGTATTGTACGCAAAATGATAACGACGATATTGTTTTCTACTCCTTGTTTCTGATCAGAATGTCTTTGTCTTAGGGTTTAAGAACGTGCTCTCCATAATATCTTGAGGGCAGCCCCGGGAAAGTATCACTTAGCGGAAATGAATGTTATGATACTCTTGTGCATAACAAGACCATGCAGCCATGATGGGAAATCAATCAATCAAAAAAAGCAAGATTAAAACACATTAAAAAAAAACACCAGT